ATCTGTTCTTCACAATTAATGAAGATAGAGTACATTCTTGAAAAGTGTATATTGTATTCTTACCAGAAGAATAGGAAGTAGTACATTTGTTAATTAGCTAGGAATTTCAACTCCTCTCTCTCTCTTTATATATACATATATATATATATATGTTTGCATGTATTGCTGGACAATATGATATTCCATAGCATATATACTTTGTGGCAGTTTTATCTGTCAAATTTAAAAAGTATTGCTCCTTCCTGGTTTTGCCCAGCTGCCTTTCTTGTTTCTGAACATTGCTGTCCTCCTTTGCAAGTAGTTAATTGCTTCTGTACTCGTCTTTGCAAATCCCATAATGCCTGACTTGGAGTCATTTCTTAAGTGAGTTTTGAATGAATGATTGCTGAGATTGAGATGAACTATTTTAGTAGACAATTGATGGAATAAAGTCTTGACTCATCTTAATTGGCTCTTCCCTTTTGGAAAACTTAAAGTAGAAGAAAATGTAACTTAAAAAAGACATTTATTTCTGTTAGTGATCTAAACAAAGAAATCAGAATGCTGGGGACTTGAGGCTCCTCTTGCTGGCAGCATTATGCATTTAGACAGCAGAAGCTTCTTAACAGAGGATTGTCTATCTGAAGGTTTACTCATAAAACACGCATGTCTGGCAGCAGTTTGCAAATGAGCTGTTTTGATTGGGTTGCACATGGTTTTTCTCCACACCCTTTCCTGAAGCTAATTCTTAGGAGGTGAGGCTTAGAGAAGTTTGGTCATGTAATAAAATAAAAGGTGAAGAAAGACTAATGTATGTTCTCCAAAAGCAACGTAATATGAAGGGTTGCCATATTGCCCATGTGTCTAGCACTCCGTTTTCATTAAATTACTATCTGGCACTGTAGATGTGACCTTTCTTCAGGAATATGTTTATAGTGAAACTTGAGAGTGCCTTCTTACATTTTTCAGAATATCTTTTATCCTTTTCTCTCCAAAGCATTACAAAAATACAGTGTATTCATTTTCAAAATAAAAACATTGGTGATTGTCTATGGTGTGAGAAGTAGACTTAATGTTCGTTTCACATGTCACGTTATTGTAATGGAAAGCCATGTCTTTTTCTAATAAGAGAAATAAAATTTAGGAAAGCCTAGTATATATGTAAAGTTGATAGAACATTTTTACTTCTCCTGCTTCCAGGAGAAATGTCAAGACAGGAAATATAAAAAAAAATGTCGTTGTGAGTAGAGGAGTTAGTTTCAAGTAGATAGGCTGAAATCTTGCCAGGCAGATTGTTAATTAATGTTCTTACATAGTATTATCTACTGTGAATAATCTTCAGGGCTATGATTTTCTTCTCTTGTTAATTGAGGTTTTTGTTTATTTGTTTTTAGACAGGGTCTCACTATGTAGTCTAAGCAGGCCACGAATTTGCCATCTGATCCTTTAGCTGGGATTATAGTCATGTACCACCATGCCTGGTTGTATGATTTAATTTCTTATTAAAATGATTTATTCAGAATTTCCTTTATACAAAACAAACTCAGATTTATTTAATATTTATTGAATTCCTGTTGTATGTAGATGTCTATAAATAGTTCCTGTTATATGCTAAGGGATATGTAGATAATAGGACTGACACAAGCTGTTTTCTAGATGTTTATAGCTTGAGGCAAAAGAAAAAATTATAATGCCTTTTGATAAGTGCATACATATATAGTTACTTACTATGCTCCATATTCATTTAATAGATAGCTGTGGGAAAAAGTCTTCATGTACCACCAAGAATGGTGAGAGTGGAACGACATCATGAGTTTCAAGGAAAGTTGAGCCTTAGAACTGTCTTTTTTGTTAGATGTTCTGCCTGTCCCCATACAGAGTTCTGGGACACAGCTTATAGCCATCCAAGTGATTATGTGCTTGCTACTTTTTTTCAGAGACAGTCACATTCATATGGTAGTTACATTACACAGTCTTCTGACTGCTAGGATTATAGGTGCATACCACTAAATCAGCCGTATTGCCTCGCTTCTGACAAGTAGCCTTTGCACTGCAAGCACCTGAGAAGTGTGTTTCAGAAGACCAGTGTTTTAGTACAGTGGACTTCTTTCACTGATTTCAGGGGGCTGGGAAGCATAGATATAGATTATGTGAACATCAATATATTTGGTATTATAATTACTTTGATTTTTATTTTAATACCATAGGGTCTGTTTTGAAATGTAAATGATTGTTAAGGAGATGGTGAAATATTGGTGTTCAGTAAGCATGGATTTATACAGACTCCTGTAAAATGTTGCTCTTACTCTATTTCAGGAGGCTCTAATTCTGGTTATTTACTAGAAATTTATCTAGAACACTTTTTTTTTCCACTAGATTTTTTTTGTATCCATACTCATTTATAGTCTTTCTCTGATTATCTGAAAGAAGCTACATGGAACAAGGTTGACTCTCCCTATCAAGGCCAGGCTGGCCTTGAACTTGTGAACCTCCTGCCCCAGCCTCCAAATTCTGGGTTTATAGGTACATGCCATCCCTGACCGACAAAGGTTGAATTCTGATGGGTTATTTCTCTTCTACCCTCAATACCTTTTACTGTTTTGTGGAAGTGATATGAATACAAACTACTGCAGTGCTAGTAATCTCTAGAATTGAGATATAATAACTTTTAATGTTGGAACTAATTTGAGGTAAGATGTATATAAGATGCACTCTTGCTAAGTGCACAGTTTGACGATTTCTGACAAACTAACACACTCATGTGACAATTGATGATACAGAACATTTCCACGACACAAAGTTCCTTTTTCTTTCCCAGTCATTCCCTCTCCTTGCTCAGGTAATTACTGGTCTGCTTTTGGTTGCTATAGCTTGGACTCTTCCTGCGCTGCACTGGAATTATATAATGCACTCTCTTGTGTTTGGGTCCTTTTGCTTAGCATGATGTTTTTGAGATTCATCCTTGCATCTTGTTATATATTCACGGTACTTTTGTTCTTTTGCTGGATAGTAGTTTATGTTATGTTTATAACAATTTGCTTATCCACTCATATGTTCATAGACATTTGAATTGTTTCTTATTCTTGGCTCTAGTAAACAAATCTAGTTTGAACATTTTTGCAATAACCTTTATATAGACATGAGTTTTTATTTCTCCTGGAAATAAAATGACTGGATCATATGTAAATATATGCTTATCTCTATAAGAAATTTCCAAACTATTTTCTCAAGGCTTTGTAAATTCCTAGCAACATTGTAAGAATTCCAGTTATTCCATAGCCTTGCCAACACTTGATATGCTCAGTCTTTTTATTTTTTAGCCATTCTGTTTAGTGCGTAGGTTTTACTGTGTTTTCAATGTACATTGTTGTCAATATTGCAGATATTAATTAGCACTTCTGCTAGTATTTGTTGGCTACTGCTGTATCTTTTTGATATGTTTATTTAAATCTTTTGGTCTTTTAAAAAATTATCTTCCATTGAATTGTGAAGTTGCTTTCAGAAGTATAATCTAGATAAAGGTGTTTTGCCAGATATTTGTAAAGTATTATGTCTATTTTCTCCCAGTGTGTGGCTTAGTTTTTCACTTTTTTGAGTGTCTTTAGAAGAGCGAAAGTTTTTAATTTTGAGTCCAGATTTTTTTCTTTGATGATTGGTGCATTTTACATCTTGAGAGATCTGTGTCCTTGAGATCTTAGAGATTTGCTGCTTTATTTTCTTCTGAGAAGTTGGCTTAAATTTACATTTAGGTCCTTGGTTTTGCCTTTTTTCCAGCGTGGGGAGGGGATCACACCTAGGGACTTGTTGATGCCAGGAAAGCACTCTAACCCCCTCCCCGCCGTGATGTTTTAATTTTTGGATAGAGTAGGATTTCAAGGTTTGGATTTTCTTTATAGGAATCCAGTTACTCCAGTCTTTTGTCTTTAGTAAGCTCAACTTATCCATGCCATGTTATTATCAGCAAGAATATACTATGCCAACAAGATATTAGTAATATACTATCTTTAACATATCCTTTGCATATCAGTTATTTCAAAGATATTGTGGCTCTTGATATAAGCTATCTATCTATTCTTTATATATAAAATTCTTGGAAGAAGTTCTTATTTTCCAATCATAATCTTTGTGTTATTTTAATGTTACATAGTTTGGGTTTTGGTGAAATGGTTTGTTTCTGCAAAACTAAAAGTACATTAAGTAATTCTACACAGAGATCAGGATCTTCAGATCTGATCTGTGCCAAACAGAACTGCAGAGTGGTCTGCTTAGGGACAGTCTTCTTCTTTTGGTTGAGTTCCCCTGTTTGGTACCTTGCCTGACAGTTTTCATTTGCTATTTAGGAGGGAGAAAAATTCTCCTACAGGAATCAGGTAAGTATATACGTAGATAAAAGAACTGGTTGAAGGCTCACAGGTTTTCTCTTTCCTGCTTTTGTCTCCTTTCTGTTTATTTTCACTGTGAGCCAGAGTATTTCTTCCCTTTGAACTCATCCCTTTGTCTTTCCCTTTTAGGAGTGTAGCTGCAGGTATTCTGCACATATTTTCCTTCTTTGCAGTCTGTTTATCTAAGAATATTTTTTTGAGGTTAAGATTGTATTTCTCTTGAATTTTCCATAGGATGCTCCTAACATGTTCTACAGAAGCATTTGATTTTCTTGGATTAAACATCAGTTAGAGCTCAGAGCAGTGGGACAGGATTTTATATGACAAATAAATAGCTCAGATAGGAAGAGGCTTTCTTTCTAATTGTCTCATTTCTAATAATTCCCCTTTCCAATTCGCTATAACTTTTTAATCTTGGAGTAGGTCTATTCTCCTTCTTCAGTGAGAAACCAGTATTTGTGTTTCTTTGTGATATTCCTCTGTTTGTTTGTTGATGGAGTTAGAACTCTTCTTTATATATGGGTTTCATGAGGTCTCTTGTGTCTCCCCAGGTAGCATATGGTTCATTGCTAATATATAATCATTGTCCTTTTCATTCTGTCTTCTCTTCCTTCTTTCTTTACTCTGGTTCTTGTGCAGGTCTTGTTCAGCGGTGTGTGATCATCCAGAAAGATGACAATGGATTTGGGCTGACGGTCAGTGGAGACAATCCAGTCTTCGTACAGTCTGTCAAAGAAGGCAAGGCATTTTAAAAAACAGTTTTGTCACCAGGGGCAAGCAGAATAAGCACGGAAAAGCTTGAAAATATCTGTTGCCTGGAATAGAATAACTTCACAGTTTGCAGGTCCTGTGGACTATTGCAGAAGATTTGCCTGTAGTGTTAACGGGAATGAATTTACCCCCGGGTGTTTTTTTTAATTATTTGTGTAACTCTAGAAACCCTATGACTCCATGATTGTGATACTTTATGTGTCAACAGCTTCCAGGCTCTAGAATTTCCATTCTTTAAGGCACCAGTGACCATAAGTATTGACTAAAGGGAGGGTGATAGGCTAAACAATAATCAGTTCTTCCCTCAAATTAAAATGATGTCTTTTGCTGTTAACACATATTGAATATTTTCTTTATATTGGATGTCATGAAATTTAGAGTATTTTTTAAAAATTATTTTATAGGTGGTAATGGGCCTAAAAGTAGCAGACCATAAAAAAAGGTAGCATTTCACTAGTGAGAGACAGAGGCATGATTTGAACTTAGGTTCATGTCCTTTTACAGCTCATGTTTTTAACTGCTTTGTTAATTTGCATTACTTTCAAGAAGACTTTCAGTGACTGCAAGCGAATCATGTTTTAAGTAACTCATTTCTTACACAGATGGAGCAGCCATGCGGGCTGGTGTGCAGACAGGTGATCGGATCATCAAGGTAAAGAAAAGACTATTATGGGACTTGTGGTAGGATTGAAAACAGGATATATCAGCCATACTCTTTGTTTTTTAATTTGGATTTTTATTAAAAGCAGCACTTTATGGATCTGTTGAATATTAAGACTTACTTTATTTTGCGTTTATTTTGTAATCACTACTATCCTTCATTAAAGGGCTTAATAAAAGGTATCATAATAAGTGAAGACCTATATGTTCTTGATAAGAAAACAATTCACTTTTGTAAAGATCATTCCTGCCCACATTAATCTCTTAGTAGAAATGTGCCTTAAAATATGTAAGTAGAGAGCTAGAAGCATGGCTCAAGTGGTAGAGCACCTGTCTATCAAGCAGTAGGCTTTCAGTTTAAACCCCAGTACTGTCAAGAAAAAAAAGCCCCTTTAAATATGTAAGTAGCGGCTAAAGATGTGGCTCAAGAGCACTCGCCTAGCAAACAGGAGACCTTGAGTTCAAATTTGGGCATTACAAGCAACAACAACAAAAATAATCCCCATGACATTGATTTTAGCCAGATATGGTAGTTCATGGCTGTATTTATAGTCTTTGGGAGGCTGAAGCATGTGAATTACAAGTTCAAGACTTGCCTGGGCTACATAGTAAGATCGTTTCTCAAAAAGCCAGCAAACAAATATAAGTGATAAAAGTCCTTATTTAAACTATGAATTATGGTAGTACTATTATGTGTCAAATGGATTGTTCCTATAGAGGACCGAGGGCATAACACAGTGGTAGTACTTACCCTAGCATGTATGGAGTGCTGAGCTTGATCCTCAGCACTGAGAACAGACAGACCAATACAGAGTTAGCAGAAAAAAAGTATGCTGTGTATATGGTATACATGAGAGGCAGTGGAAAATCAATCTTGATTTTAGATCTGTGACTCTAGTGTAAATGTTGATTTGGCAGTAGAACCAATAGAGTCATAGAAAGCCAGATACACACACACACACACACACACACACACACACACACACACACACACACACACGTGTATATATATTATACCTGGTTTTATTTTAGATGATAATTTTTTTTGTCAGTCGTGGGGCTTGAACTCTGGGCCTGGGCACTGTCCCTGAGCTCTTCCGCTCAAGGTGAGTGCCCTACCAGTTGAGCCATAGCACCACTTCTCATTTTCTGGAGATGAGACTCACAGACTTTTCCTGCCCGGGCTGTCTTTGAACCTTGATCCTCAGATCTCAGTTTCCTGAGTAGTTAGGATTACAGGTGTGAGCCACTGGCGCCCAGCTAGATGACAATTCTTAAAGTCAGCCTGTCCATTGTCTTAGTAGGATATATTTAATATCTGTTATTTGATTTTCTTATAGGTGAATGGAACTCTGGTGACTCATTCAAACCATTTGGAGGTGGTGAAGCTAATCAAATGTAAGTGAATACTGTATTTAGTGTGAATCATTTTCTGAAACCCATAAGACAAGAATCAACAGACATTTTCTATAATAGACTAAACAGCAAATAGTTTAGGAGGTGTAGATGGAACATGGTGGTTGTTACTGTACTGGAGTCTGTCATTGTAGCACCAAAGCAGTCATAGTATGTAAAAGATTGGCTGTGCTGGGTTTTAATATAACTATATCTGTGAGCCCTTGGCTGAAGTTTGCCAACCCTGTGGAATAAAGTTCTCAAGTGGAAACTCTTAAGTTACTAGTAGTTATTTTCTCTCAGCTCCATACATTGGGTTCATTATATCTTTGTCATTCGAGTATTCATTTGAGTATATACATTTATATAAACATATAAATGAATTAGAAGAGAGGAAGTTGAGGGATCAGACTGAAATGGAAGTTTAGAGATCACGTGACACAATGATGAGTAAATGGTTGTACAATCCAGAGTCGAGAATATCTCTTGGGAAAACTTCAGGGTTAAGGGTTTATGATTTTGGCTTTGAGTTAGTAGCCTTCCTGCATTTAGTTTTCATGGAAAAACTGAATCTCAGACCAGTGAGAATCTACAATGCCTATTCTCTTGCCATTGTAAGGTCAAAAGTGGATGTGGCTTCTCCCACCTGGCGATGAGGCTTGGGCAGACCAGTGCCAGCCCCTTGAAGGACCAGTGTTTCTGTGAGCTTCTGTTTGCCAGTGGCAAGGAAGCCTGGAAAAAGTCTAGGCTCCATACCTTACACTCCCAGCCCAGATCCAGGTTGCTACCTTTTAGTCCTGCCTGTTTCCCAAGAGTTTCTTCACTTGTTACAGAAATAACAGCACAGACCAGCATAGCAGGAGTAGAGAGAGGAAGTCCCAGCGTCCCACTGCCTATAATCGTTCTTTTCTCTGTACTGGCTTGGTGTCGGCTGTATTTGTCATTACATTTAAAAAAAAGAAAAGGAAATGACACCTTAAAATAATTTTGATACAATAAATTAAAAAATTTATGATCTTCTTCATCAGGTTATTTCATAGTAAAGAGGATGACAACTAAAAGATAGTTGTTTGTGGCCTAGCAAAATAATTAATATTTTACTTAACTCTTTTTCTGGTGTAGAGAGACATCTTCAGAATGAATTCGATAGATAGACTATTCTGTTGAACTTCTAATTGCTTCAGTTAGCAGCTCTGAATTAATTTTCCTTTCTAGCACAGTTCCAATTTTCTTTCTTTCTTTCTTTCTTTTTTTTTTTTTTTTGTCGGTCGTGGGGCCTGAACTCTGGGCCTGGGCACTGTCCCTCAGCTCTTCAGCTCAAGGCTTGCACTCTACCACTGAGCCACAGTGTCACTTCTGGCTTTTTCTGCTTATGTGGGGTTGAGGAATCGAACCCAGGGCCTCAGGCATGCAATGCAAGCACTCTACTACTGAACCACCTTCCAGCCCCAGCCCCGTACACTTTCAGTTTCTAACATTAGCATATTTTTAAAGATATGCCGTGATCATCAGGCACTTGTGGCTCATGTCTGTAGTCCTAGCTACTCAGGAGGCTGAGATCTGAGGATTGCAGTTCAAAACCAGCCCAGGCAGGAAAGTCCATGAGACTCTTCTGTCCAATTAACCACCAGAAAACTGGGAGTGGCGCTGTGGCTCAAGTGGTAGAGCGCTTACCTTGAGCTGAAGAGCTGAGGGACAGCACCCAAAAAAAAAAAAAAAAAAGATATGCCATGATCAAAATCAGATCCCACACTTGAATAAACCGGTTTACTCAACAAGATTGTGTTCTATAACTTTTTGTATGTGACATAAATATGATGGTTTATGCTCACAAGTTTATTTATACCTGATATCTACTGTGGAGTATATAAATAAGGTGAGTTCCTTATCCTTCTAGTTATTTTGTTGGTTTTATTTATTCCAGTATAAATTTTACTTAAAAAGTACAACCTGAGGGCTGGAGCTGGAGCTCAGTGGTAGAGGCTTGCATGTAGCATGGATAAGGCCTTGGGTTCAATCCTTAGCACTAGAAAACAAAATTAAACCCTAGGATTATAGCAGTAGATTACTTACCCAGTAGCATTAGTGAGGGTATAGTTAACAAACCAAGCATAAAACACCCTGAGTAAACAAAATAGACGTGGCATGCCTAAAACCTGTGCACTATGTAGAGATTTCATATACACCTACTCTTCGATGCTGATTCTAGACATTGTAAAAGTGATTTCAAATTGGAGCACCTTAGAACTAAAGGAGAAAGGGAAGAACTAATAAGCTATTGGAGACAGTATGTGAGCTAGTAATATAAGAGAAATGACTTTCTGAAAAAGAGTAATAGGACTGTAAGGGTTTAAAAAGTACTTATACTTGCTGGGTATGGCTGTGTGTGTGAATCGCAGTCACTTAGTTGGCTGATGCAAGAGGACTTTATAGTGTTTGAGGCTAGCCTAGCCTACATAGTGAGACCCGGTCTCAAAAAGAAAAAAAAAAGTATTAAAGTATTAGACACCCTCCTTTCTTAGCAGTTGGAACTAGTTAGTTTAACCAAGGATAATTTTTAGGACCATAGAACACTGTGAAATGACTGCTAATTTCATGGGAGGACTAAATTTTAGGGAAGCAAGTGTTAAAATGCATTTAAAATTTGTATTGAAAAGTCTAAAAAGTTTTTTTCATTTAGAGATCAGTTATCTAAAAAAGCTGTTTATGTGAAACATTAATTTCTTACTGATGCTAGATAAATAGTGAATGTTGGCTGGTGAGTTTTGGCTTATAATAAATTCTATTATTTAGGGTTTTTTCCCTCCCTTTAAATGTCTAGTGAAAGTTTCACTTAAAACTCACTATTGTGATTTTTCTGCTATGTGGACTATTTTAGTTATATTCATTTCATAAGACTAGCTTAAAATTTATTGTTATATTCTAGAATGTTAAGTCCTGCCTAATTAGTATTGCATTAAAATTTAAAGATTTCAAAAATGGGCATTTAAGAAATTAGAGAACATACCATTAGTAAGTGGTTGGTGTTAACCATCTCTTAATTAAGAAAATACATTGTTGAGGTTAGAGACTGTATTTGCTTTGATGCAGTGTCTGCTCTTCTGTGTGGTGTTCTGCAGTCTGAAAGGGCATGTTCTCCTGTGGAGGGGCACTCACAGTAGAAAGGCCAGTTGATGAGCAGATGATGGGATTTTGTCACATAACATAATTTTCTTAGATCTGTCAGATTGCCAGGCCTGGCACATGTCTGTAATCCAAGCACTTAGGAGCTGAGCAAGAAAAATAAAGTCAGTTTTTCTGCCAGCCTGGGGTACATGGTGAATTTGAGGCTAGCCAGAGTAAGCAGTAGATACAATATCTCAAAAAAAAGTTTCTTATTAATATCATTCTCTTTTTCCTTCCTTTCCACTCTCCTCGTCTTGCCCCAAGCTGGTTCCTATGTAGCTCTCACTGTTCAGGGACGCCCACCTGGGTCGCCCCAAATTCCCCTTGCTGATTCTGAAGTAGAGCCATCGGCCATTGGACATATGTCTCCCATCATGTCTTCCCCTCATTCACCTGGAGCATCTGGGAACATGGAGAGGATCACCAGTCCTGTGCTGGTGGGGGTAAGGCCAGCAGTATTTCTGAGTCAAAGCTTGGTTATGTAGTATGCTTTTTAGTAAGAGTTTTGAGGTATTTATATAAGTTGCATTATAACTTAGAATGATTACAAAATGTTGTCATGGCATACTTAATTGAATAACTGTTAAATATCTGCCCTGTTCAAATCAGTGTGTCACTCACAGAAATATAATTTAGATATCTCCTGTAGAAAGTTCTTGGCCATCTAAGGAGTCTTAGAAGAGGACAGTTTTTTTTTTTTTTCTTTTGTCTATTTTGTGTACTATTGTGTCTCTAGTACCTGAAATACTGTTTGACATGATAGAGGTGCTTAGAAAATCCTTGTTGATTGAAGTCAAGTCATGAGTGTGCAATTATGTATAACACAAAGGCAAAAAATACTCATTATGAGGAAAAAAACCCCTATGCTCTATGAGGTCTCAGAGGAGGAAAGAAAGCACATCTAACTATGAAGAGGAAGGACTTTATGGAAAGCTATTACTCCAGCTGAGCCTTGTAAAACAAGTAACATTTAAGTGGTGGTGACAGATTGGAAAGCAACTGAGGTAGAGGAAGTAGAACAAACAAAAATGAAGAGCCAAGAAAGTACCATTTTAGGAAGTTTCCAGGACTTTTGTTTGGCTGGTGCCTGTTAAGGAAGTTCATAGTCAGATGAGCATGTGAAAAGTACATCATCTATAGATCTTACGTAGCTGCCTGTCTGATTTACATGTAACTGGATAAGCAGTGAGAATCCGTTAAACAGTCTTGTGAGCAAGAAAATGATATGACTACAACAGGATTTTAGGAAGACTAAATTGGCAAAATATTACAGGGTTGAAATACAGAGAGATGAGTGGTTGCAAGTTGTCTCATATTTCTGGCAGGAGGGATAGGGAGTTTGTGCCCAGCATGGGGACCAGTAGTAAAACACAAAGAAGTATAAGATACTGCTCTTACACTTATATACCGTCACTTCTGCCACTATTACCTGTGTTAATGTTCTCTTGGACTCAATTTAGTAGTAGTGAAATAACAAGGTAGAAACTCCCCTGAATTCTTGTCTTTTTAAGTATTGTGTCTGAAAGCTGCCTTCATGACAGCCAGGAATAGAAGAAATCCTGAAAGACACTGAGTCTGGGGCCGAAACAGAATGATGTCTATCTTGTTTTCTCTATTTCAGCTTATTTCTCTCTACTGGTTGTTTATTTTTTATCTTTCTCCAGGAAGAAAACAATGTGGTTCATAACCAGAAAGTAGAAATCTTGAGAAAAATGTTACAGAAAGAACAGGAACGGCTACAGGTACTAAACTAGAAATGGGGCTCTTTGTAGGACAATAAAATTGTGAGTGGGCCTAATGGAGTTAATTGGGTCATAATCATGATTGAAGAGAATTATAATCCATGCTAGCAACTATTTTGTTGATTAATAATGGACTCTTCCTATATTTAATGACATAAATAATTCTCAAAATAATTTTATAACTTTTCCAGTTCTTGCAGGAAGACTATAACCGAACACCTGCCCAGAAGTTGCTAAAAGAGATCCAAGAGGCCAGGAAGCACATTCCTCAGCTACAAGAGCAGTTATCCAAAGCCACAGGCTCTGCGCAGGTAGAATCACTGTTGACAAGGCCACCCAGCCTTTTACAGGAAAAGTGTCTTCTGGCAATGTGTCGGAGATGTTGCAATGGCCTTTTTAAAGTGATTTTTCTAACACAGGACAACAGGATATCCTGTGTAGGACGTTGCACAAAAGTCAGTGTGGGCCTTTGATTGTTTACTTGCTCATATCTCCTTTCTTTGTTCTGCAGTGATTTGGAAAAAAATTGGGTGCTTTTTTCTTTGATGTGACAAATGATAAAAATGTATTTAGGTGAACATAGTTAATTTTTGTGAGTCTTTGTCTCATCTTAAGAAAGAATGGCAGTTGATAGGTTTTTATAAAATGACGGACATTGTACATACATGGACAAGCCTCTCCACTTTGTACAGCAATGTTCTGAAGTTCGGTCCTGTTCTTTTTCTTTATTTCACATGTAAAATTTAGAGAAGCTTAGAGAGATTAAGCAGATTATCTGAGTTCATGTACCTCAAAAGTGATAGAACCAGAATTCAGCAGGGTGTGTTAGTCCATGCCTGTAATTCCAGCACTTAGAGGCTGAGGCAAGAGTCTGGTGTCTTCAAGGCACATTCATAATCTCAATGACTGTGTTTTTATTGTAGCTTTAAAGTACATAGTATTAGAATTTGCTGTACAGGATAAGTTACGGGGATAATGGTATCATTAGAAAAAATAGCTCAAAATTTGAATGTCAACCAGATATGTTATTTAATTGTATTTCTCATAGACAGCTGCTTATACTTCATCTTTGAGGAAAGTGGACAAATTGCCTACATACCTACAATTAGTAAAAGCTGATGAGCTATCACTATTTCTTGAATCAGGTCTGAAGTGAAAGCCACATGCCCATAGAACTGAAAATATTCTTTCAGACTTTGCAGCCTGGTCTGCTCATTTCCATGAGGTTGAGAGAACTAGGCCCCAAACTGGTTCAGTGACTTCGACAGGGTCACAGGTTAGAAGGCCCTCACTTCCTGGCTTGTGTACTTTTCATTATACTTCTTTTATTACTTTCAGTCCCCCCATTTTGAATATCATATTGTTATACTAGGCAAAGACAGCATTCTTACCTATGAGCAGTAAAAATGTGGCTCCTGATTTAAAGCTTACAATAATTTATTTTGTGGTATGTGTCCTAGAATTGGCAATTTATTGAAACTCGGCAGCATTGGAAGGATGCTAATGGGAAGCAATAATATAATCATCTTTACCAATAGTCAGATAAGCTAAATCACATTAATAAAATACAATTAATAAAATATTATTATTTGCTATTTTTAGTAGTTGGAATTTTTACTGTCTTTATTAGAATACCACTATTACTGTTTTTAGAATCATGTCATTTTAGGATTTTAGAATTTGTAGTAATTCATGCTTTTTACTGTAGGATTTTAAACATTTTTGATCACATCAGAGATTTGAGATTTCAAAGTCTCTGTGTAGAAGAAATAGTGTCACTTATTGCAGTTAGTAATGAACCTTCTCTGGTTGTGTGTGTGTGTGTGTGTGTGTGTGTGTTCTTGTGCTTCTGTAAACTGTTTCAGGATGGAGCTGTAGTGACACCTTCCAGGCCTCTAGGGGATGCCCTAACAGTTAGTGAACCCGACATGGATCCTGGAGATGGACCTTATAGGACTGACTGGAGCGGTGGAGATACTTCTCGGCCTGGCAGCGACAATGCAGATGTAAGCTTGAAGTTCCTAAAATTTTATCTGTTGTATTCTTCCTTATGGATCCTCTCCTGATTTAATGTTGTGAATTAGAAGTGATTTTTCTTTTGCTTCTTTTTATATATCATCCTAGTCTTTAACATAGCAATATGATGAGTTGAAACTCTAGGCACTGCAGTATATGAATTTTTTTTTTTTTTTTGGTCGGTGTGGAGCCTAAACTCTGGGCCTGGGTACTGTCCCTGAGCTCTTCAGCTCGAGGCCAATGCTTTACCACTTTAGCCACACGGTCACTTCTGGCTTTTTCTGCTTATGTGGTGCTGAGGAATCGAACCCAAAGCTTCATGCATGCAAGGCAAGCACTCTACCACTGAGCCATCTTCCCAGCCCTGTGCAGTATTTGAGCTTTTAATTCCAGAGTTCACTTTTTCCCTCAGACACCCAATGCCAAGGTTTCTTTTGGGAGAGTGGAATTTCCCAGCAGGCATCTTGTTTGTGGTAGACAAGTTAATAATGCCAGTGCTTTAGTGCCAGTGCTTTTTCACTGAACTGAGAAGCTGACTGTTGATATCTTTAAGAGCATGTTAATATTCCATTTGTGGTCAGAGTGACTCAGTGTTGAGTCATGAAGTACTCTGCCATTACAAAGAGGAAAAGCCTTAGTCCTGTTAGACAGACTTCAGCTAATTGCCCAGGTTCAGCAATAGCACTTTCTTGATTCACCCTATGAGAGTGAGATTAACATGGGTGTTTGCTAAGAAATATGTTAAGTTGACTATAATGTGGCACCATATTTAAATAAATATTGAAAGCTAAGTTCTGCATTTTATACTCAACAGTACTCTTAAGTAGTATGTAGTGATAAGAATAAAGACTTAAAAGTAGTTCACTTTCTTTAAAAGTGATGAGGGAAGTAGACTGAGCCAGTGTTTTGTGGGTCCAAATCAAGCTAGTGGATTGTGACTCGTATTTCTCTTAAAGACATGCATAGGAAGTCAGAGTGCTTTGTGTGCAGAAGAGATGTTAGACCTATGGTATACATGCACACGCGTGCTTGTATATACACAAATGCTGGTGAATAATAGAATGTTTCTCTTACTGTTAAGAAAAAGTTGGGCTTAAAAAACAATTAAAGGCCGTCATTTAGACTACCTTTTTGAGGCTTAGGCCCAATGATTTAGTTCCTCATACAAGGAAAATCTGAGAACTCCTTTTGGAATGATGATGATAAGAATCTGGGGCTGGGAAGGTGGCTCAGTGGTAGGGTGCTTGCCTGAGATGCATGAGGCCTACATGTGGTGCATGAGCACCATATAAGCAGAAAAAGCTGGAAGCGGTTCTGTGGCTCTAGTGGTAGATCACTGGCTTTGAGCTGAAGAGCTCAGGGACAGTACCCAGGCCTAGAGTTCAGGCCTCACGACCAACCAAAAAAAAGAAAAGAATTTTGAGGGCTGGGAATGCCTATTGTTCATCAAGCTCTGGGTTTGATTCCTCAGTACCACATAAATAGAAAAAGCTGGAAGTGGTGGTGTGGTTCAAGTGGTAGCCTGCTAGCCTTGAGCAAAAGACGCTGAGGGACATTGCTCAGGCCATAAGTTCAAGCCCCAAGACTGGTCCCGCACCACCACACACACATACATACAGAAGAATCTGGTGATTGGGTCAAAGATTTTAATGGAAAATTATACTTTTGATTCAAGGAAAAAAATTCTCACAGCTGACACTTATCAGGCATACATACCATACATGTCTACATTTCTTATCCTAGCTAATTTTCAGAATGTTTTTTCCACACTGTTTTTCCTTATCTCATTTTAGGAATCTATTGTAATGAACTGAACTTTTTTTCTCTTAAAAAACATTATTTAGAGTCCTAAGAGTGGTCTGAAGGAGAGGATTTATCTAGAGGAAAACCCAGAAAAAAGTGAATCAATTCAGGACATTGTGAGTATGAAATCTTTGCAATGAGTATTGTGAGTATTGTCTTTACCAACCCCCACAACTTTCTTCATCCTCCCCCTCCCCCTCTTGACTGCCCTACAGTGTGCAGACTGCTCTACAACAAAGAGTTATTTTGTCTAGCATGCCAACAGTGGCGATGTTGAGAAGTCCTGCATTACGTACTTATGAAAATGAATTAAAAATGGAAAAAAAAAAACAGGGTTCAGTGACAGCTTTCAGTTATATAGCACTCACGGAAATCTTTGGTTAATACATTGTAGGCGCGTTAACCTCTGTGGTAACTTACTTTATTTTGTGGTACTGTGTTTGAACTCAGCCTTGTGCTTGATAGACAAATGGAGGAATGGTTTCACATTATACCCATTATGCTCCTGCTAATCATGCTTTCCATGTAGCCAGGATGACAAGCCTGGGTTACCCCTCCCATTTTATCACATAGCCAGCCTATGAGGCTGATCATCACTGGCTCTGCCTCTCAAGTACAGATGTGAGCCATTATGTTTGGACTCCTGTGCTAACTTTGTCTTACCGATTTTTTGTGTGTGTGTGTATGTGCCAGTCCCAAGGCTTGAACTCAGGACCTGAGCACTGTCCCTGAGCCTGTTTTTGTTCAAGGCTAGTGCTCTACCACTTGAGCCACAGCGGCACATCTGGCTTTTTCTGAGTAGTTTATTAGAGATAAGAGTCTTGGGGACTTTCCTGCCCAGGCTGGCTTCAGCTCAGATTTCATCCTCCTGAGTAGCTAGGGTTATAGGTACAGCCACAGGAGCCCAGCTGCTTTATCCTTCCTCCCTTCCTTCCTCCCTTCCTTCCTCTCTCCCTTCCTCCCTCCCTCCATCCCTTCCTTTTCTTTCCCTCTGTCCTTCTGTCCCTCCCCCTCCCCTTCCCCTCCCCTCCCCTCCCTGTCTCTGTCTCCCTCTCTGTCTCGTCTCTGTCTCTGTCTCCGTCTCCCTTTCTCTTTTTGATACTGGAGCTTGAGTTTAGGGTCTCATGTTTGCTTGGCAGATACCTGTTGAGCCATACCTCCAGACCTTGTTTACTCTGCCCCTTTTTTAGGATATAGTCTTGCTTTGCTAGGCTGTCCTGGACTATGTTCTTCCTATTTACACTTCCCTGAGTTTGATGCTGGAAATTTGATTGGAACTCAATGCCCATTCATGAGTAATAAGAGCAGACTTTTGGAGAAAAAGAAAAAGACTTATATGTTTTGTCTGGCAAAATAAGGACCACACACACTAGTATCTCTAGATTAAAAAGCACAGTCTAATCCCAAGGGAGGACAGGTTTTCATAGAAGAGCCCAGGAGCCCGGGCTTCCAGATGTATGTGCTGAGGTTTGACATCAGGTTAGGTGGTAGTTTTCTTTCCCAGTGTGCTGCTGATAGTCTCCAGAGTTGTATTCCTTATTGTGCTGAATGATCCTTCATTCCTGTGGTCAGCAAGGTGAGAGGAGCAGAGTGGCCTGGCTTGGAAGACATTCTTGAGTTCACTCACATGAGGGTGAAAAGAAAAAAAGTATGTTTTTAACACTTGTGTAAATGAAATCAAGATGCTCAATAAAATGATTTATTGAGCTGAAACTACAGTTGCTTAGCTTACTTAGGTGTTTGTTCCTATAGACTATAACAAATATGCCACCATACCCAGCATTTTTCTTGAGGTGGGGCGGGGATCCTCAGGACATTTTGCCTGGGCTATCCTCAAACTGTGGTCTTCCAGATTCTTCTTGTCAAGTAGCTAGGATTATAGGCATGAGATGCCATACCTGCCTCATTTATGTATATTTTTTAAACTTTTCAGTTTAGAAAAAATTACAACTATGTGAGTCAGCATGTCTTTCTGTAACACAGTGTAGGCATTTGTGAATTAATAAATGAAGTATAAAAGACCTAATTAGAAACAGATAACCAAGGGTGTAGTGAGTAAAGGTGTTTGCTGTTTTCATGGAGAATGTTAATCAATACAGTGATAGTCATTTTCTCTGCCAGAGTAGTTTATGACATTGGCAGTTGGAGCACTTGTCTTTTGAAAATAAAGTACTTCGAAGAAAACAGACAAGAAGCAATCCCAGTGATTAAATGAACCACATCTTCTGGATGGTCTGTCTTTGTCTTTGAGTTAGACTCTGGATGGTGTTTTTGTTTCCAGGATGCTCCATTGCTCGTCAGCAGCCCTTCCACCCGGGTCGCGCCTCATATCATTGGGGCAGAGGATGATGATTTTGGTACTGAACATGAACAGGTGATGACATTCAAAAAAATTTACATTATGAGATGTCTGCTTTTTTGTAAAAGTAAATGCTTTCTGGAAATTAAGGATTTGTAGCTAAACCTTAGGATCGATAGCTCATTAGGTTAATTACTTATTTGAGCTTTGACCACTAGAAATGCTTTTAAAAGTGGTAAGAGTTAAGTCATTTGATATATACTTGTGTTTCATTTTGTTTTGGGAGTATGATGTTATGGATATTACAAATAATTTTTTTTCAATTATTCGTTAATGGTAGGAATATAATTGGCTAAATTTCTTTTTTAAAAGGAATTAAGGCTTAATTCTTGTCCTTATATACTGTAGGAATTTTTATTTACTTACTTATTTTTTGGGTCTGATCGTGGGCCTGAACTCTGGGCCTGGGTGCTGTCCTTCAGCTCTTCAGCTCAAGGCTAGCGCTCTACCACTTGAGCCACAGCGCCACTTCCGGCTTTTTTTTTTTTTCTGCTTATGTGGTGCTGAGGAATCGAACCCAGAGCCTTATGCATGCAAGGCAAACACTCTACCACTGAGCCATCTTCCCAGCCCCCCTGTAGGAATTTTTAAAATAAGTCTTTTGAGCTTTTGGAGGCTGAGGCAGGAAGATTCTGAGTGCAAGGCCAGACAAATGAGACGTAGACTTTGGAAAAAAATAGTCTTTTGAGATTTTTCTACATAACAACCACACTGTTTATGAAGAGAAATAGTTTTATTTCCTGGCTTCCAATTTCTATATTTTCTAAACTTCTTTTTCTTGCTTCATGGCACTGGCTAGGATTTCCAGTGTGAGGTTGAATTAGAATGTCCAGACATTCTTGTTCTGTTCCTGATCTTCAGAAGAAAGTGTTCATTCCTTCCTTATTCAGTATGTTATTGAAGGTGTTTGTAATTTTTCTTTATTAGGTTAAAGACTGTGCTTAGTCTGCTGAGAATTTTTACCATGAGTGGATGTTGATTTTTTTTAAATTACTGAAATTACATATTTTTAAAATTATTCTCAATACAATAGATGATACCAAATTATATATTGATATTGAATTGCTGGAACAAACCCCATTCAGTCATGATATATCATCTTCTTTTATATTGGTGAAATCAGTTTGATTTTTATTTTACTTAGGATTTTTGCATCTGTGCTCTTGAGAGATATTGGTCTATAGTTTTATTTTTTGTAATTTGTTTGGCTTTGCTAATTTAGGTAATGTTGGAATGTTAACTAGCTTTTAGAATGAGTTCAAAAATAATTTCTTTTTTCTGCATATATTGAGCAGAATTTGATATTGTTTATTTAGATTAAAGTTCTTATCTAAATATAAACACTTTTAATGTGGAAATTGGGACGATAGTTTAAGTTTGTTTTCTATATTCAGAATTTTTAGGGATTTTACAGTAATTTTAAAGGTTCTGACTTAAAAGCATACAGCATCATTTTCCACTGCTGTGGAAAATGTACTGTGATTAGCTTGAAAGAGAAGGAAAATTAGCTATTTCATTATTGGGCCAAAAAAACCTTCTTTACATTTTAGAAATGTTATCAAAATATTTTTGCCAATCTCCTAAACTTCCATTCTTCCTAAGTAGTTTACTTTCTATTCTCAAAAGATGATTAATTTTTAGAAGAAATTCCGTAGCCTATGTTGCTAGTAAACTTTGTGGAAGTTTTAGAATACTGATTTTTTTTTTTTTTAAATAGAGAGATGTGTCAGCTTTCTGTCACTATGACACAATGCCCAATTAAAAGAACAACTTTAAAGAATAAAGGTTTGGACTGGTACCCAAGGTGGGCTGACTCCATTGCTTTTAGGTCTGACTATGCAGAAACATTACGGCACAATGTGGTGGAGGAAAGCTGCTTCACTCACGGAGGCCAGGAAGCAGGAAAAACTAGAGAGGAGGGTCCCAGCAACAAACCACTCTCAGTGACAGCCTGCAGGCTCCTCCAGCTTGGCCCCACTGTCTGAGACTTCTTCCACCTCCCAGCAGCTCTCAGCTTGAAGCTAAGCTCTCAATACATGGGCCTTTGGGGGAACATCTCAGATCTGAACCCTCATAGGAGACAGAAGTGAAATTTGGATAGTCAGGGTCAACTGACCTTACACTGTCTTGTATATTTGTATGAGTTTGATGTGTAATTGTCTTTCCTTCCTCTAGATCAATGGGCAGTGCAGCTGCTTCCAGAGCATTGAACTGCTGAAATCTCGCCCTGCTCACTTGGCTGTTTTCTTACACCATGTAGTTTCACAATTTGACCCCGCAACATTGGTAATACATTTTACAATTTAGCTGGTTCAGCGTCCTGGTGTTACTGATTCACGTGCTGTAGGACTTTTTGTATCTGTTAGATAAAAGGACAGGCTTGTTTTCCAAACCTTTAAGAATAGATATGAAAGATACTTACAGTGTTACTAATGAAAAATTTAAAGATTTGATTACATAGTAATAACTACTTTGTTGGTGGTAACTTCTTTGTTTATTGAGGATCTAGCAAATTATCCCTTATGTGATTTTTCACTTTGTCTCTTCTCTTTCCTTCTCCGTGACAGCTCTGTTACCTCTACTCAGACCTGTATAAACAGACTAATTCGAAGGAAACTCGTCGTGTCTTCCTTGAGTTTCATCAGTTCTTCCTGGATCGGGCTGCGGTGAGTTGCCAAGTTATGATCTCTGCTTTAGGGCACTGACTGAATTGGCCTCTTAGTTCCAGTCTTCCCTCTTCTGTTTTTGGACATCCTTATGCTTCTGAGTATCTGTATTATATTTCAATTATTGATTACTCTTGACTTTTTAATCACTTGTGATTAAATTTGTGATTTAATTTTGCATATATGAATTCTCAGAGTAAATTTTAGGGGGATGAGATACATTTAGGTCTTTGTATAATTAGAATGAAGGAATAAAAAAGAGAACACCCATATATGATAGAGATACATATTAGGATCCAAGGTATCATTCTCACATAATTGATCTCTAGGTGGCCTCTTTGAACCTTAGAAGCACAAATTTAACTAAAAAGTGGTAAAAAGATCTCATACTGAAATAATACTAATGTGTTATTTTACCAAAAATAGAAATGTTAGTAAAGCTTTTAAGCTTTGTTTCATGTGCACCGCTGCGGGTAGCCGCGGTGCCTTGGATGTCTGTGCTGCGTGCCTTGCTCTTACATGCTCGCAGGTCTCTTGGATGAATGCCTCAGCTTCTGTCCTTCAGCCTGAGTCGCTTCCTTTCCTAGCCTTGTCTCAGCTGACTGCCTTCCAGTTTTCACGGAAAATGTCAAGTGTAGAGGAAGGAACTTCTACCAAATATGTTACTTAACCTCCATCACACCACACCCTGTGCCCTTTCTCTTCAACCTGTTAAAGAATTGTATATCCTCTCTCTAGCACCAGCTCCTCCTTTTTTATCTGGCAGTTATCTCCTCTTCTTCCTCCAACAGTTTTTTTGTTTGTTATTGTTGTTTGTTTTGCTTTGGTTCATTATATTAAAAACATTTCTTTTGTGTCAAGACAAACACATACAGATAATTTGCTGCCTCATTTTATTTGTATTTCTTACATAGTTACCTACACACTTCCCCATTGCTAAATACAGTTGCCACCATCTTCTCAGGAGACCTTCGTTGATACCAATCTACTTAAATGTCACCTTTACATTCTATCATTTCTTCTATGACTTTTTTTTTTTTGGTTGGTAGTGGGGCTTGAACTCTGGGTCTGAGTGCTGTCCCTCAGCTCTTCAGCTCAGAGTGAGCGCTCTACCACTTGAGCTACAGCGCCACTTCCGGTTTTCTGGTGGTTTATTGGAGATAAGAGTTTCATAGACTTTCCTGCCCGGGCTGGCTTTGAACTGCGATCCTCAGATCTCAGCCTCCTGAGTAGCTAGGATTACAGGCGTGAGCCACCAGCACACCGTTTCTATGACTTTTTGCCTGTAGAACTCTTGGGTATTAATTTTAGTTATATTCCTGCCCTCCTACCCTAAATGTAAACTCCACTGGGGCAAGTATTTTTGTTCTGTTTATATGTTGCTGTGTCCAATTTCGAACAGTTTCTGGAACAGACTGGTGACCCAGATACTTATTAAATGAATTATTGTTCTGATAGCTATTGTTTAAAACATTGCAAATTATTTTTACTAAAATAACACTGTCATGAAGAAAGTTGAGTATGTTCAAATACATTTCAGTTGGTATTTCTTTTTCTTCTGCTTGTTTGAATCCCTCCCCTTTCCTCCCCTCTTCTCCCTTTCCCCTTCTCTCCTCTGCCACTACTGGGGCTTGAACTCAGGGCCTGGCACTGTCCCTGAGCTTTCTTTGCTCAATGCTAGCTAGCACTTTACCACTTGAGTCACAGTGCCACTTCCGGCTTTTTCTGTTTATGTGGTACTGAGGAATAGAACCGAGGGCATCCATGCATGCTAGGCAAGCACTCTACCACTAAGCCACATTCCCAGGCCCCAGGTCTATTTTTCACTGACTGTTTGTAAATATAGGTGCTTTGCATACTTTTAGACTTTCCATAGTTGCTAGGATCACAGGCACATGCCAATGTATCTAGCTTCCCTTTGTGGACATTGAGTCTCTTGGATTTTTCAGTCCAGACTGGCATAGTACTGTGATCCTGTCCATGCAGCCTCTCCCATAGCTACGGATGGCAGGCACACACACATCACTGTACCTACTGTATGTTTAGAAGGGGTCTTGCAAACTTTTCTGTCTGGGATAGCCTTGAACTGCAGTCCTACAGTTTCCACTGTAGGACTACTATCATCTTTAATTTCACATCTCTTAAGAGAGCCCTCTGGCTATATCAAAACTTTGTATTTTACTGTTCATGTTCTATAAGGGTATTATCATTAAAGTCTAAGAAGAATCCTGATTGGTTAATGTGGCAAGTCATTCTTCTTTGCTTCAGGTCATATTTATTTCATATAAATACCCACATAACATAAATGTACTTTTGTATCTTTATTTTTACTAGAAATGCTTTTAAGAAACTGGCTTCGAATTACTTCTTGGCAACTTCTGTTAAAGATAGCTTTGAAGCCCATTTCAGTTTTTTTTAGCCGTTCTCATTGAGACAGGTTCTCATTATGTAGATCAAGCTGGCCTTGAAATTCTGATCCTGCTGCCTCAGCTTCCTCTTGAAGATTGGGATTATAGGCATGTTTACCATGCTTGGCCATTTCAGTGCTTTTACAATGAATATAAAAGATCTTACATTTTTTTTCAGTAATCACTTATTTTCAAACTTAAAGGACTTTATAGGAATTTTTAAATTTCAGGAAGCATATGACTTAAATAGGTATGTGATAATATAAACATAACCAAACTAAGATAGTTCTTCTAAATACAAAATAATAAAAATTTCCCTAAATTTGGTGGGGGAAAGGGATAATAGTTTGGTAATAGAATCAAAAACTGCAGATTTATGGGGGAAAGTACTACCTGAAAGGAAGTAAATTGTAAGACAGTCACCTTAATTCAGTAGCAAGAACTACAGATGGTTACTGGGACTTTAACTCTTAAAACTCAGTGTTAACCTCTAGCACTTTCTTACTGGGATGTGACTGCTGAGTGTTTAACATCTTACATAGGAAAGCAGTGGGATATGCTGCGGCTTGTAGGATAAGTATCTCAAATCCAGGAAATAAAGTCATAGTTATATATGAGTCAGTTGGTCATGTGATCATATATACACAGTTTTGGTTTTACTTGTATTAATTCAAATAACATATGATAGATTGTATTGACCAATATTTCTAGAGTGCTAAAGCCAGTATGTTTATTAGCATAATGATGAAGCATTCATTCTTTTGTCTAGTGAAAGAATTGTAGCTATTTCCTTTATACTATAATATAATATTGGGAAAGAGGTTTATTATTTAACTTAAACACTAGGATGTTCCAGGGCTGTGAACTCTAAAATGATTTCTTTGCTGGGAAGGTGCCCTTTGGTAGAGTGCTTGCCTTGTATGCATGAGGCCCTGGGTTCGATTCCTCAGTGCCACATAAGAAGAAAACATAAAATAAAATGATCTTGTCTATGAAAGTGCATGGACAAGTGTATCCAGGCTGTGTCTTCACTTCATACACATTGTAATGGGCCTGTAGTACTGTTTCACCTTTTGTTTACATTTTGTTTTAGCACCTGAAAGTCTCTGTTCCTGAGGAAATATCGGTGGATCTAGGTAAGTTTGGAGCATCAGTATCTTGAATAATCACATTTCTGTAGACATGTTGTCCAGTTAAGCTCAGGAGGTTTTATTTATCACTAGGTGGCTGGTTTAATGCCTTGGATGACTGATAGAAAGAAAATCTATTATACAGTTAAGACCTACTGAAACCTGAATTCTGGTCTTGCACTGAAGACTTGTCACTGTGCTCCAAGTTAAATTTGTTCCTATTGAATTGCTGTGTTGCCAGTTCCACTTTGCATGGAATATACCTTTAGATCAGATAATCCCTTTCTCTTTATGCAGAAAAGAGAAGACCTGAGCTTATTCCTGAGGATCTACATCGCCACTATATACAAACTATGCAAGAAAGAGTCCACCCTGAAGTTCAGAGGCACTTGGAAGATTTTCGGTAAGCTTGTTGGTAGATAAGATCCCTGATATAGTCAGTCTCAGTTTGGTTTCATTCTGCTTCTTAGGTAAGAAAATGTTACACTTAGCACTAGGTGAATTGCTTGGTCGTATCCCTCTTGTTGAAACATATTGAGCATCTGAAGCTGCAGGGTTGGGGTGGAACTGAAAGTTCAGTCTCCAGCCCATGTGCTCCCAGTGCTGGGTTCTGCACTGCGCCTGTGCTCAGCAGTCCTCACAATCGTGTCTTCCCACATGGTGGACTCTGTTGTCTGAGTATTTCTTCACGATTGTGTCTCCCTGGGATTGACTCCACTCAGCTCCTTGATGATTTTATCTCTCTGTGGCTGACTGTCTTGTCTTTTTCCTCTGGTATCCCAGGTGATAGACCCAGAAGTAGAAAACTTGACTTTTTTGCCTATTCCTAGACATTTGTAGCTTATAAAGACTCTGCTGAAACTTTTTCAGAGGGACCTGCTTTGCTCTAGGCTGCTCCAGCAGATTTCTCTTGGTTCTTTTAGGCAGAAACGCAGTATGGGGCTGACCTTGGCTGACAGTGAGCTGACTAAACTTGATGCAGAGCGAGACAAGGACCGGGTAACTCTGGAGAAGGAACGGGCATGTGCAGAGCAGATCGTTGCTAAAATTGAAGAAGTATTGTAAGTAATGGAGGCATGTGTGGCAGTGCTCATTAGGCTTAAAATACCCTTCAAGTGTGCTTGAAAGGGTGGTCAGGTTGTACAGATAAGGACCTGTTTATTTTATCATAATATTTGAATCTTGAGTTTTTCCTGATACTTTGTATTAAAGTTCTTATGTTCCCTTTTCTGAGTGTTGGTCAATAAGTAACTCTGAAACTTGTAATTGGTGATCAAAACCATGCAAATACTTGAGCTGGTTTTAATTAATTGGAAATGTTCTCACTGTCATATATGTGTGTATATATATATATATATATATACAGCATATGTATGAAAATAGTGTAGGTCCTAGGGGATTTTTAAAAAATTATTACTATTATAGCAGACAGATTTAGATTGGGACACAAAATGTTAGCTGTGATCCACTGTTTCTGAGTTTAAGACCAGGTGTTTTATTAAGCTTAAATATTTCATTTTTAAACACTTTTACTTTTAGGATGACTGCTCAAGCTACAGAAGAAGAAAAGAGGTAAGATAACTTTATCCCTCCTCCCTTTTTTATTGTAAAAACACTGTACAGAGGGGTTACATTTACATGAGCAAGGCAATGAGTACACATTTCCTATCAGGCATTGTTGCCTCCTCCTTTGTTATTCTCCTATCATCCCTTCCCTCCTACCTCTTTTTAGTCTTTTAAGCATTTCTCTGAGGAGCTGAAAAGGATCAGTATTCATTTAAACTTTACACATATAGACTGCAGGCTCCCTCTGGTGGCTTGTATTTTATTTGTGTAACGTTCTGGTGTCTAGTTTGACTCCTTCCTTTCCTGTGCAGAAATGAGCGATAGTGATGAATAGAAAGAAAGCTCTTTATTTTTTTTCTTGGTTAATTTCAAGAATTGCAACATTGGGCTTTTGGAAATCATTTGGTGTCTACTTGTTCTGGCTGACCACCCCTCAGAAGTCTTATTTTACATAATCCTTTCTCTCTAGTTCCACAATGCAGTATGTGATTCTCATGTATATGAAGCATTTGGGAGTCAGAGTGAAAGAACCTCGAAATTTGGAGCACAAGCGGGGTCGGATTGGATTCCTCCCAAAAATCAAGGTAAGACTGGAATAATAGAGAGGTAGGTATCAGACCTGACATGTTATGATTGTATGTTTTCCTTCTTAATATTTTCTAAATCATCGTGTTAGCACTAGGTATGATGATAGGTCTAAAATGTAGTCCTTGTTCTCAAAGTATTCAAACTCTACTGCAAATCCAAACACGCAAGCTTAACATTACTGAACGTGAAAAGGGAAAATAGTAGTTTTTCCAGAGTGCCATCTGCAACTTTTATCTTTTAGGACTTTCTTCATTTTTGTATCTTTAGTTCTAGCATAGTGTTTTCCACACATTATAAAAGTATTAGTGAGCTGCATGGCTTAGAATGAACTCCTGGTAAATGTAAATTTTTACAGTCAGCAAGCTCCTGGTAAGCTGCTTTTTTATTATCCAAAATTTCATTTCCAAAGGGTTTGTGCAGATACCTTGAGTTTGAGGTGTCCTCAAGACTATGTGGCAGCTTCTGCTGAATATGCACATACATATTTTCATTTACATTGAACCCATGTTCAAATTGTATTTCTATGTTTGAGAGCAGCAAAAGAAACCCACTCTGTTAGATATCTCTTAGCTTTCTCCTTGTACCTCCATGTAGCAAAGTATGAAGAAAGATAGAGAAGGCGAAGAGAAAGGCAAGCGGAGGGGATTCCCCAGCATCCTGGGACCTCCAAGGAGACCAAGCCGGCATGATAACAGTGCAAGTATGTTGCTCCCACCACCCATCCCTCCTGGGCCCATAGCCCATGTGCTGGGGTGAATGCTGGGGACGCTGCTTTCATGATGGTGCTGCTGCACAACCTGTGCGACAACCTGTGCCTTGTTTCGACAGTGTTGTTTCTGAACTAAGTGCCTCATGCTGCTTTCAATGTGTCACAGTTCTCATGGTTAATGGTAGTATCCCACCACGTGGCCAGACACTTTGTTACTTACCTCTTCTGATTTTGTTTGTGTTCAGATTGCTTATACTCATGGATTTTTCCACCTTACTTTGTTTAATCTCTGTCTTTCTGTCTCTGGCTCTCTCTGTCTCTGTCTCTGTCTCTGTCTCTGTCTCTCTCTATATGTATATCTATATGTATATACACACAGCCACACACACACACACACACACACACACACACGCATGTGTGTATATATATGTAATTTGCTGTCTCCAGAATTATTGTACAAGCTCTATTTCTCCTCTCTGCTTTGTTCATACCTCTTTCCTCCCAGGTCAAGTTAGGAGAGACAAGCCCATTAGAAAGGGCTTCATCAGGGATGAGGAAAGCTGTATGGTGCTCCTTATCTCAGACAGTTCCACATTTGCCATCTGGGCATGCTTGGGAGTAGGAATTTTGTTGAGGAATAGAGATGACAAGTAGCTTACACCTGAGGAATCCTTAAATGCCAGTGCTACACCTGGTTGAGAAACACTGAGAAAGGTAGAAGAACATTTCAGAGGGCAGGTAGAAGAGACGGAGCACCTCAATACACTGACCAAGGGATACAGAGAGATGGTTAGGAATTTGGGCGAGCAGAGCTACCTGAGGATCTATAGTGCTGTGGTGACCTGAGCTTCTGTGCTTCTTGTCATGACCAACAAGAGCATGGATGAAGAGCAGGGTGGGGTCTCTGGACAATGTGGTGATGGAGGTGGCATGTGAGGATGAAGTTGTGCATGTTGGGAAGGAAAGCAGTGGGACTTCAAAGTGCTTCGTCCTCATTCTTACAAACAATGCATCTCCAGATAATGACTCTGTCAGCATTTCCTCTCCTTTTTCCATGGTTGCTCTCCACATCTCCTTTTCCCATGTCCTTCTTCCTTGCCCCAGACTCATCTACTATCTCTTCCCCCTTCCTGTTAGTCCATCTCTTATCTCCCCCTCCACTTTTCTCTCCTCTTCTCTCTTTGCCCATCTGTCTGTCACCTTCCCTCTCCCTCACCATGTCCTTTTCTTTATTGTTCTTTTTTTTTCAATAATTCCTTTCACATTTTTGTAGGCCCACCATGTTCCACACATTTTTCAGATATTGTTACATCATCTCTGTCTTTCTTAAAGCTGTTTTGAAGTGCAGATTACTAATGATTCCATTCTGTCCAGTTGGCAGGGCCATGGAACTACAGAAAGCACGCCACCCTAAGCACGTGTCCACAGCCTCATCTGTGAGTCTTGACCCTCAGGATTCAGCCAAGTTGCGCCAGACTGGGTCAGCCAATGAAGGAGCAGATGCTGGATGCCTGCCTGCCAATCCCATGTCCTCTGTGGTTTCAGGGGCTGCTCTCCCACAGGAAGGAGGGAAAGAGAATGACATGGGTGAGCGGTGCTGTAGTTAACTTAATCAGGATATTTGATATGAATGTGTTAATATTGTATAACCCATGATAGATTTAGGTTGAATCTTCATGTGTAGTGTGTGTGTGTGTGTGTGTGTGTGTGTGTGTGTGTGTGTGTGATGTACTGGGGCTTGGAGTTGGAGCCTGGCACTGTTGCTTAACTTTTTTGCTCAAGGTGCTTTACCACTTGAGCCATACCTCCACATTTGGCTTTTTGGGTTAATTGGGAATAAGAGTAAAGAGATACTTGCTCAAGAAAGTCTGCTTTGAACATAAAGCAAGCCAGGTGTTATGGCATACAACTATAATACTAGCACTCGTGAGATAGATGCAAGAGAAACATGAATTCTTGGTCATCCTGGGAACCATGACAAGATTCTGTCTTAGAAACAACCAAACAGTCAGGCACCAGGGGCTCATGCTTGTAATCCTAGCTACTCTGGAGGCTCCGATCTGAGGATCACAATTTGAAGCCAGCCCAGGCAGGAAAGTCTGTGAGACTCTTATCTCCAACTAATCACCAGAAAAAACTGGAAGTGGAGCTATGGGTCAAAGCAGTAGTGTTAGCCCTGAGCAGGAAAGCTGAGAGAATAATGCCTAGTCTACCCCCTCCCCAACCCCTGACCAAAAAAAACCAAAAGCAAAGCAAAGCCAAGCTTGATGATGCAAGTTTATAAGCCCAGCATTTGGGAAGTTGAGGCAGGAGGCTCATGAGTTTGAGGTCAGCCTATGCTGTATGACAAGTTTTAAGGTCAGCTTGTACTGACCCAGATAGACTCTATCTCAAAAAAACCATAGCAAATATGTAGTATGGGGTGACATGGGGCACAATGCATTGTACTCATAAGCTAACTCATTGAATTGAAACCCCTTTGTACAACTGCTTAAAGATAATTTTAGAATGTGGCCTAAGCTTAAAGCAGCTGATAGATTATGAAACTTTAATAAATGTTCTACTTCACGTGGTCTGAGGGTTATATCTTTGGGCCACTATTGAAGACAATGTGATTTTACAATATTACAATATGTGTGTTATCATGCAAGCATACTTTATTGATGTTTTTAAACAACTTTTAGAACCATCCAGTAGATAAGGCACAGACTACTTCATTGTGACTGCAGATCAGACTATAGTCTAAGGCCTGAAGGTATAGCTCAAAATGTCACAATACCAAGTGCAAGGTTCTGAGTTCAAACTCCAACACTATCAAAGCAACAAGGAGTCAAATGCAGAGTGTAGGTCTAGAAGACCTTCTTGGTGACACAGATAAAACTATACTTGAGACAAATGAAAAACAAAAGGAGAGATGTAATAAGGTGGAAAGATACAGTCATTCAGTCCTAATCTGACATAGAAGAGAGTTAAGATAGCAACTGTTTTTTTTTTTTTTTTTTGGTCGGTCGTGGGGCTTGAACTCTGGGCCTAGGCGCTGCCCCTCAGCTCTTCAGCTCAAGGTGAGCGCTCTACCACTTGAGCTACAACGCCACTTCCGGTTTTCTGGTGGTTTTATTGGAGATAGGAGTCTCACAGTCTTTCCTGCCCGGGCTGGCTTTGAACCGTGATCCTCAGATCTCAGCCTCCTGAGTAGCTAGGATTACAGACGTGAGCCACCAGCGCCCGGCTCAAGATAGCAACTCTGAAGGAACAAAAACACAAACTAGTTATTTACATTTAGGTAATAATTTAAATTTAGCTATTAACCTTCTTAGTGATAATTTAATGATTAAATATTTATAAAGGATTGGGGGAACATTTAAGATAAGAATTATAAGTGAGCAAAATCTTCAAGGGAGAAAGAGATTAGATACTAGATGGTACCTAAAGATAATAAAGAAGTTGATTAAGTATATGATTGAAAATAATCTAATGAAACTCACTGAAAACTTAAAAACAATGTTGGGGAATGGAGAAAGATGAAGAAAAAGTAATATAGAGGGGATGGATTTGATCAGAGTACATTATATGCTTGTTGAAGGAACCCCCTTTGTGTAGTTAATACTAATGAAGTTTTTAAAAGATAGCAAATCAGCAAAAAGAAGTAAACAGGTATTTACTGTAGTAATTGACATTTAAAATGTGGTTTGCCACATTTGACATTGGAGGTAGAAAGGTGAAAGGTGTGGGGGGTGCTTCTAATCACTCTTTTGAACTCAGCTGTTGGCTTTTAGAAAGCTACTATAAATGAATTCTCAGGGGTATGCATGTGTTTGTGTATTTTAAAGTTTATATATTACACTTTGGGTTCTAGCAAACTTGCAAATGTTCAGATAATAATGTGTCTCTGATTAGGTTGATTAGCATTAGATTGTGAGGCCTATTTGTTTTTTGTAATCAGTAACTTGCCCTCAGTGTTAACACTTTAAATGTCTGACTTTTGTCAGGATCAAAACAAGTTGGAGAAACACCAGTATCTGGAGACTCCTTGGATGGCACACCTCGGCCTGCCAACACTGTTTTCGATTTCCCACCTCCTCCCTTAGACCAAGTGCAGGAGGAGGAATGTGAAGTGGAAAGGTAATTCAGTGAGGTTTTACAAAGGCTTAGGGCACTAGAGATATTCCTGTAATTTGTAGCATTTTTGCCCTGTGCAATGTTTAGAAAGAGCTGGTAGTAAATATTGACTAAGTCCTAAAGTTTTCTTCTGTTATTCAATGTTAAATAATACATCTTAAGGAAGTTTTTATCCAGACATTTGAATCCACTTTTGAGTCTCTTTTATATAAATTTATTGACATACGTGTGCTTTCATTCTCACTCTTTATTCTTCATTATTTTAGAGTGACGGAACATGGAACACCAAAGCCCTTTCGAAAGTAAGTAAATCTTAAATAGCTTTCTTTGTTTTTTAGATTTTTTTGTTTTAATCTTTAAATTGTTACTATAAAGGTGATATACAGAGAAGTAGCTTTCATATAAGAGATCTTTTTCTTTTTCTTTTTTTTTGCGGTGGGGGGGGGGGGGGGGTTCCCGTCATAGGGCCTGAACTCTGGGCCTGGGCGCTGTCCCTCAGCTCTTCAGCTCAAGGCTAGCGCTCTACCACTTGAGCCACAGCTCCACTTCTGTTTTTTTCTGCTTATGTGTTGCTGAGGAATCAAACCCAGGGCCTCATGCATGCAAGGCAAGCAGTCTGCCATGGAGCCACTTTCCCAGCCCAAGAGATCTTTTTTCTGATGTTCCAGTGATAAAGGATAAGAAACCCTGTGTATAATCTCTTAAATATGATAAAAGAATGTCAACAATAAGCCTGACTCACTCAAAAAAAATATATATTTATGGTGTTTAAATATAACCTGTTTAAAACCATTTTGTAGGAGAGGTGAATGTATGGCATTGTGCTAAATCAAATGCAGAAATCTGATTAATTGGTGGTAATATTAAGACTTGTATGCTCTGTTCACCTAAAGCCCTCGGACACAATTCATTGGTTTTTTTCCTCAGGTTTGACAGCACAGCCTTTGGAGAAAGTCAAAGTGAGGATGAGCAATTTGAAAACGACCTGGAGACTGACCCACCCAGCTGGCAGCAGCTTGTTAGCCGAGAAGTGTTACTGGGACTGAAGCCCTCTGAGATCAAAAGACAGGAAGTGATTAATGGTGAGTTGAATTAATTTGTTGCTGTTGTCTATACATGGCACTGTGTTTAACTAGAGTAAGTAAACCCCTCAGCTATGGGGTTTGCTTTCTTTTCCTTTAACTCTTTGTTTTAAACAAAGATGAAATTCAATGAGATGGCTGATTCTCAAACCCTTCCATCAAAATGTATAAATGGTTTTAGGAGTCATCTTTTTCTTTTTTTGCGGGGGGCGGGGAGGGTGGTCCTGTGATGGGGCCTGAACTCTGGGCCTGGGCACTGTTCCTCAGTTCTTCAGCTCAAGGCTAGCACTCTAACACTTGAGCCACAGCGCCGCTTCTGGCTTTTTTTCTCTCTGCTTATGTGGTGCTGAGGAATCGAATTTAGGGCCTCATGCATGCAAGGCAAGCGCTCTACCACTGAGCCACCTTCCCAGCCCATGGAGTCATCTTGATAATTGAAAAGGAAAGAGTATCTAGCTTTGAAGATATTGAGGAGCCATAGCCTTATTGATCTCAAAGTTGAGACTTATTGAGACACTATCCTGTTTTTGCATATAAATGATCAAGAGCAAGGGAAAGCACAGGAGATTAGTGGAGTTAATCAAGATCACACATATAATCAGTGATGAGAGGAAAACTCAGATCCACTTCTTCCTGTATCCTGGTGCAGTGTTCTTCAGTTACCCTAACATGTTTATAGTAGATAGGTGGCATGGATGCTATGCCCTGTACTCTCCCTAGGATGTGATTTGAATAGTTATCTTTCCCATCTCTGACATGGTGAAATTATGGCCTGGCTCTACAATTGAGGATTTATGGGCAAATTGGATAAGCAGAAGTACTATTATTTCTGAAAAAGTCTCAAATTTAAGACTCTTTAATCCTGGAGGTTACATAGTTTCAAATATTCTAGTTATGATAGGTAGGGATTACAAGCAGGTGAATGAGTTTGGGGGTATGCAGTTAACTTTTAAGTATAAAATAATTTGAATGAGTTTTTTTTGTTGTTGTTTCAACTCAGCCACTGTATTGGAGAATTTCATGGAATTAAAATGAGTTCAGAAGCATTCAATCTCTTAACTGCTAAATAATTTATTATACAACTCATTTGCTTCCTAATTCTAACAGAAGACTGTTCCATGGAATTATTCCAAATAAGGCAGCATTTCATCTCTCTCCCTCTCTCTCTTTTTCAACTTAGAATTGTTCTACACAGAAAGAGCTCATGTCCGAACACTGAAGGTTCTTGATCAAGTGTTCTATCAGCGAGTGTCCAGGGAAGGAATTCTGTCACCTTCAGAGATCCGGAAGATTTTTTCAAACCTGGAAGATATTCTTCAACTTCACAGTAAGAGAAATTGGTCTGATCATTATCCCTACACTTCTAATAGAGGAAAGATGGACAATACTTACAGATATCTTGGATACATTTATGTATAATTTTATGTAATTTTGTCAATATATCCATGTTAGCATTTCTAAAATTATATGTGATCACTTAATACAAATAAACAATTGGGTCTTAGGCTAAATTCTATTCCCCATAATCAGCCTTTGGAATACAAAATGTCTTTTTTTTGTTTTTTTTTTGTCGGTTGTGGGGCCTGAACTCTGGGCCTGGGCAGTTTTTCTGCTTATGTGGTGCTGAGGAATTGAACCCAGGGCCTCATGCATGCAACAAAATGTCGACATAAGATTGGAGTCTAAAAGTATTTAAGCTGAAAAATGTGAGAAGTCAAAATTACCTTTGAAATTTTCCTGTCTTAGAATATGCAGTTATATAGTTCTATATAGATAATCCTGTGTAATAATACACAGGATTATTTTTTAAATAGTAATATGTAATATATAATCTCATGATAGGGTGACTTTTAGAAGCTGTTTTATTGCTTCATTGTGTAGAACACGTTTTGTAAATATACTGAAACCCTTTCATAAGACCTTTTCTAGTTCAGTCATCTGGGACTTTTTTTCCCCCTCAGTAGTAGGAATTGCTCTTGGGGCTTGGAACTCTACTGCTTGAGCCATGTTCCCAGTCCCTTTTTTTTTAGATAAGTTTTTGCTAAATAACTTCCTGGCCTGGCCTTGAACTGTGATCTTCCCGTCTCTGTCTTCTGAGTAGCTGGGGTTGCAGAGGTGCATTATGATATCTGACCCCCTTACATTGGACTTTTGAAGATAGCAGTAGAGTGTTCCTCTCTTTATGGGTCACTATATTTTTGTGGTCCTTTTTAACCATTGACACTTTCCAACAAAAATGATGACATTTAAAAATTTGTGGGCAGTCTGTGTTCTATGAGAATCTATCTGGTGCTTATAAAGATGCAGATTTCAGGAAGAACAATGATCAGAATCCCCTGCGCTTTGAAGTTCTTTCTAAACATGGTAGTACAATGGATCCTTCAGGTTACATGCTTATTTGATGCAACACAACTGTACATTTCATGTACTAGCTGCTAAAAATGTTCGATGACTTAACTAGCACCTGTTTCTCAGGTCGAGCTTACAATATCTAGCTGTATACACATCATGTTGATTGTGTATAAGATTAAAAATAGCTGTGATTCTTTGAAATTTTGTTCTTTGAAAATTGAGCTGCTTAGTCCTACTAGTAATTCGGCCTTGAATAAATGTGTCCTTAATTTTGTTTTTCTTTAGTTGGGTTGAATGAGCAAATGAAGGCTGTTCGAAAAAGGAGTGAGACCTCTGTGACGGATGAAATTGGAGAAGATTTACTCACCTGGGTGAGGGCCTTTCTCTTTTTTTCTGGATGAGAGACCTCTCTCTTTTTAGATAAGGAGCTTTTCTCTCTTTCTCCTTTTAACTATATGACAGACTATAAAATCAGTTTCGAGTTAAGTAACAAACCATTCCAAATACCAGTTTACTCATTTGCAAAGTTTAGTGGGAGGCTTTTGGGTTCAAAGTAAGTATTCCCTTGATTAATTAGTGCTCAGGCTAGAGAGTAAATGGATCTTGCTAAAAGTAGGTGGTCCACTTCTTCTGCCACAAAAGTAGAAAAGTGAAAATTTCTTAGTTTTAGTTAGAGAACATTTTGTCAGTGTATATTGGGCTATACAAGGCACTGGGAGCATAGTGACATCCAAAGAGATGTGACTCCTGTTGTCTGAGCTCTCCTCATTATTTATGGGCAGATCACCTGTGGGTTATATAGCGCGTGATCATTATAACAAGAAGGGAAGGAGGCAGGTTGTTGTTAAATGTATAGCAGAGAGACCTGGACTAGAACATATAAGAAACCTTCTAGAGGAAAGTGGTTGACTCTGAAGAAAGTGCTCTCTAGTTGGGGTGAAAATAATAGAACAGTATATGGTTTAGTTCTCAAACTATTAACATAAACAAAACAGGAGTGGATTAGATATGTCCACTGAAATACTTCTTGAGTGAATGCCACATGATGGTGGCAATTCTACATTACATATTTTTAAGAGGTTGCATTGTAGCAAATTAACTAAAGACAATCTTACTGCTTAGATCGGTGGTCAAACCATCTCCGGGCGTCTACTCCTCTAATGGTAGTTCTTTTTACTGCAAAAAGAACTTGATTCAGAATGGAAACAAATCTTAACCAATTCCCACCTTGGTTTTACTGTAAACATTTGCAAGCATTTTCTTGCCTAATGCTTTACAACTACATCCCCAGCCTGAGAGTCATATTTATTAAAGAATAAGAATGTATAAAATTTGACCTATTAAATATCATTTTATTTTTTATTTTTTGGGACCGGTCGTGGGGCCTGAACACTGGGCCTGGGTGCTGTCCTTCAGCTCTTCAGCTCAAGGCTAGCAGCGCTCTACCACTTGAGCCACAGCGCCACTTCGGTTTTTTTCTTTTTGCTTATGTGGTGCTGAGAAATCGAACCCAGGGCCTCAGGCATGCAAGGCAAGTGCACTGAGCCACCTTCCCAGCCCTTTATTTTATGTGTGAGCAACTAATTTAACTAATTTATCTGCAAAAACTCTACAACAGAATGTTTTATAAAATGTGTTATTTATATACTTTTGAGAATATAGGTTTAGATAGGCTCTGATGCTGAGATCTAAGGATTGCAGTTTAAAGCTGACCTTGGCAGAAAAGTCCCCATGAGACTTTTATTTCCCATTAACCACTTAAAAATTGGAAGTGGCACTGTGGCTCAAGTGGTAGAGTGCTAGCCAAGAGCACAAACAAGCTCAGGGACAGCACGCAGGCCCTGAGTTCAAGCCCCACAACTAACCAAAAAACAACAAAAAAAGAATATGGTTTTAAATGAAAGAATATTTAGTAAACTACTTTGTAAATGATAAAGCATTTGTTTGTAAACACAGAAGTTGTATTTAAAAAATAATTTATTTGAATTGTGAAACATTTGTTTGGCATCCAGAAACTTTAGAGTCATGGAATATTCAAACTTAAATTTACAAATTAAAATATATTAGTAATTTTTAACAAAAGATGCTAATGAGCATATGAATCTCTCCTAAGCCAACTCCGCTTCTGTAGCAGTAAAGTGGCAGTGATTTTACTTTATTTCCTCTCTGCCCAGAAGCATGGTACATTTTACAATAAGAAAGCTAGCAACACAGGATTTCCTTCCTGGAACACTAAATGAATGATGTTTGTAAAGGTGTCAGAATCTACAAAAATGAAATTTTAATCTCAGGCTTTTTGTATATTCTCCAGATATCCACTCTAGAGGTGGTGTAGGCTGAAAGGTGGTAAGTTTTGGTAGGCTACAAGCAAGAAATCATTGGCATGTGTTCAGGAAAGATCTGGCGGTATCAGAGTCAGACCTTCTTAGTGGAGAGCCATGGATGGTCCCATAAATCCGCAGTCCTGTGTTTTCTGTCACTTGAGACTGCTTCCTGGAATGTCAAAGGGATTGTGGTTGTCTCTCATGTTATGTGGCCTTATGTAAGCTGAGGATCTCATTCTCTATTGTTTTCCTCACATTCTTGGCACAGTTCAGTGGACCAGGAGAGGAGAAGTTGAAACACGCTGCTGCTACCTTTTGCAGCAACCAGCCTTTTGCCCTGGAAATGATCAAGTCTCGTCAGAAAAAGGATTCTCGGTTCCAGACTTTTGTGCAAGTGAGTTGAGTGAGTCACATAAGCAATGATAAGAAGAAAGCATTAAAAGAAGTTAGTTATAGAATGAACTTAAGGAATTCTGACATCAACTGCTTTTTATAAGGATTATATTTCTGTTAGCATTTTTAAAAAGACGCACATCTGTCAAATTAGTGGAAGCTATAATAAAAATGACTTTAGAATGAGGAATAATAAAAACGTGATTAAGATTAAAGTATTGGATATAGAAATTTATATGGGGTCTTGTATCAGAAGATGTGCCACCTGTACGGTTAAATGAACACTATAAAATCATGGGGGACTGGGAAGGTGGCTCAGTGGTAGAGCGCTTGCCTTGCATGCCTGAGGCCCTGAGTTCGACTCCTCAGTACCACATAAGCAAAAAGAAAAAAGCCAGAAGTGGCACTGTGGTTCAAGTGGTAGAGCGCTAGCCTTGAGCTGAAGAGCTGAGGGACAGCGCCCAGACCCAGAGTTCAGGCCCCACGACCAGACTCCCCACCCCCACCCCCTCACCCCCAAAAAAAATCATGGGTATAAACGTGTATTAGGCCAGAGAAGATTAAATAGCAGACATACTCCTTGAAGTAGCCTTGTATACTGGAACAGATAAGTCTGTAAACTTATCCAGCCTGCTACCTGTTTTCGTAAACAACGTTTTATTGCTATATAACAGGATTATGACAATGTGGTCACATAATGCAAATTTTTCATACCATAGTTGTAATGATTTAGGGATATGACTACAATTTGGCCAGATCCAAGAAAGCAGATCTTAGAGTTGGTTATAGATGCTTTCAGTAGTTGCTTAAACAAACCACTGGATTCGTGATAGAAACTCCCTTCCCCCAATAAGTGATTAGAGGGGAAAGCAAAAGGAGGGTGTGGCAACAGATTGTCTTGATGTTTTTTAAATAACCAAGAAATGTGATGCTATAGACACTTAGGTGAATGGCACATGGTAGGTCGTTATTGTCATAAGGAGAATTACAGACTTACTTTGCTTAACTCTAGGATGCTGAGAGTAACCCTCTGTGTCGCCGCCTTCAGCTGAAGGACATCATTCCCACCCAGATGCAGAGGCTTACGAAATACCCACTTCTTCTGGATAACATCGCCAAGTACACAGGTAGGGTGTTACCACAGAGGTAAAAAAGCTAACAACAAGACAAACAGAGCATGTCCTGCGAGCCTCGGTGTCCTGGCACCTGCAGTTGGATTTCTGAATAGAAAGACTTCCTAACAAGATTTAATCTCATTTTCTGCAACCTGTTTGACTTAATGTAGCCTATGAGAAACTCTTGCAGAGTTCTGCAAAGTGTGAGTCAGGCCAAATCAGAATTACCACCTATTTGTGTGGGAAAACTCTATTAGAACACAGCTGTGCCCATCAGTTTGCACGTTCTCTCTGCTTGGGAGCTCCACTAGCAGAGTAGAGTTGTTGCAATAGGCCGTTGGCTTCAAAGTATGAAATATTTATAATCTAGTCTTTTATAGGAAAAGTTTGTCCATCCTTGCTCTAGCGTCTCCAATTCCATTGAAGGTTTATACTGGGTGTAAGAAATGTTTTGTATCTGTATATGATTGTTTTTTTTGGGTGTAGTATGAACTCAGGGCCTTGTATTTTATAGGCAGGCGCTCCCCCACCTGAGTTGTATCCCCAGTCATTTTCTTTCCTTTGTTAAAGTTATTTTCACATAGGACCTTTGTGCCGAAGCTCGCCTTGCCCTTGGTCCTCCCATTTATTCTCCTCTCATTTGTGCTCCCCTTCGCAGGTAGTTGGGATGACAGGTGCATGCTGTCATACCTAGCAGTCTTTCCGCTTCCCCTCTGTCTCTTCCCTTCCAGAACTTCACACATGCTAGGCAAGCATCCTACCATGGAGTCATCTCTCTGGCTCCCTTTTGCAATTTTGAGGCAGGATCTGTGTAGCTTGGGCTGGTCTCAAACTCACATTTCCCTGCCTCAGCCTCCCAAGTATTAGGGTTATAAGAGTATACCCCCACATGCCTCTGTAGTCTCAAAGTAGCATCATCAGAAATCTCACCTGTCTAAAAACTACATGAATTGAGATTCTGCTATAGGTTTTAATCTGGCATAAAAATACTAAAGGTCTTAGTATGTGCTTCTAACTTTTTAATAAAATGAAATCTCACATGTCTCTGTGTATACACATTTCTTTTTCTTTCTTAATCTCCTTTTACATTTTTTATTTCTTTATATTTAGAATGGCCAACAGAAAGGGAAAAAGTGAAGAAAGCTGCGGATCACTGTCGTCAGATCTTAAATTATGTAAATCAGGCTGTCAAGGAGGCAGAAAACAAGCAGGTAAAAAAGGGAGAGCAAGAAGGTATAGGGTGGTGCTAGAGAACATTAACTTACCATTACCCAGAATCTGAAATTGACTGATTTTGTAATGGATCCACATCAGTTTATGACAAAGTATTAGAGTGTTTTTTTTTTTTTTTACTTTTTTTGTACATTGGTAGCTGCTTGCTTGCTTGTTCATTCAGCAGGCATCTGTACAACTTGCTCTCTTTCCTGGTCACAGGATACAAAGAGGTTGAAATTATGAGCACATGACAGTCGACTCTGAACCTGTTCTCCAACAGAGTAGTCACACATGGCTGCCATCAAGGGCTGTAAAGGAGTTTCAGAGTGATGTGAGCATCTGGCTGGGACCTAGCCTTGTGTGGGGCTTGTAGGTAGTGGCTCTCCAAGAAAGCCTTCTTGTGGAATTGAATTGGAGCCACACTCTGAAGGATAAATAGAAATGAACAAAAACAGTGTAGAAGAGGATGATAGCCCAGAGTAGAGGGAGAAATAGAGCCATGTGTGTGAAAGCCCAGGCATTTTATGCAAAGCACTGTGGTCTGTTTAAGTAATGGAAAGATTGGATGCTATATGTGCACTTCATTCCATGTAAGTTTTATCTTTCCAAAATGAACTATTGTTGATGGTTTACATGCTACAGTATGTAAGGGAAACATACATTTAGGTCTAAAAAATCTATTTTATTTTATTTATTTTTGACTGTCCTGGGCCTTGAACCCTGGGCTTGGCCACTGTCCCTAAGCTCCTTTTGCTCAAGGCTAGTATTTTACTACTTGAGCTACAGCACCACTTGTGGCTTTTTCAGAGTCTCATGAGCTTTGCTGCCAGGGCTGGCTTTGAGCCATGATCTTCAGATCTCAGCCTCTTGAGCAGCTAGAATTATAGGCGTGAGCCCATGATGCCTGGCTAAAAATCTGTTTTAAATGTGTCAAATACTATAGACAGAGGAGTAAATACCGATCGATATGTACCCAAACAAACACGATTGAGAATGACAAGTTTGGGTTAGGTAGGTATTCACTACAAGCATTCAGACTCTTCCATGTACTTATTAGGTTTTGATATTGAGGAAAAGTTAATGTACCCTTTGATCCAATGATTTTAACATTTATTCTACAAGTATAGCTTCATGGATGCACAAATGAATATGTTGAAGACCACTTTATTACAGTATTATTTGTTATTGGCAAAGATTGGAAGTAGTGTGTGTGTCTCTTAGTAAGGCAGAGTTCGATAAATTATATACTTCATTCCCAGAGTTGAATACTGTTGCTTTTGACAAAGTATCATTCTATGGCAATGGGGAACTGTATCCAAGAAACATTATGTTATCTACACACACTGAGGAACACGTGTGTACATTGTTATGATTGGAATGAGAGATATATACGGAAGTAACAAATGAATGCATATATGGATCTATTACTGCACTGCATCTTGTTTTAAAAGGATCTACTCAGGCACATAATCCACATAGATATATGCATATAGTCTATTTGCATAGGATTTTTTCTCACAGGCAACCCAAGAAACGGACATTTGTGTTTGCTTCTTTAGAGAAAGCTGGGAGGTGGAAGGACAGAAAACTTTCTTTTTATTGTGTGCCTTGTATTACCTTCTGAGTTTTGAATTAAGGGCATGATTTTCATATTCAAAAAATAGGCATAAGGTAGTTAGAGGCCAATGAATTTGAAAAGAATATTAAAGAGTGTCAGCTGAAGAGACAAGCGGGAAGGTGGGAGAGTGTAGAGTGCAAAAGCCAAGAGAAGAAGCGGTTAAAGAAGGACTTGAGTTGTCAGTCATGTGCGGCGTTGCATTGAGCTCAGGAAAGTGCAGATTCAAGATTTCCATTTGACGAACTGGGAATGTGGCTCAGTTCCTCGCATGCATGAAGCTCTGGGCTCAATTCCTCAGTACCACATAAACAGAAAAGGCTGAAAGTGGTGCTGAGACTCAAGTGCTAGAGCGCTAACGCTAACCTTAAGCACAGAGAGGCTCAGGGACAGTGTCCAGGCCCTGAGTTCAAGCCCCAGGACTGGCAAAAAAAACCCTCAAAGATTTCTATTTGACTTAGGAACAGAGAGGTCATTGATGACCAAAGCAATGACCTTTGCTCCATTCTGTCTTAATTTCAGCGCCTAGAAGATTATCAGCGTCGCCTTGATACCTCCAATCTCAAGTTGTCAGAGTACCCAAATGTTGAAGAGCTCAGGGTAAGAGATAGTCTAATCATATTTTAAAAGTAAATCAAAATGTACTAAAGACCTGGCAGGGAATGAACATCGTAGTGGGAGTATCCATCATTTGATGGAGGGTTTTTTTTTCATAGATCATCTACATTTATGATTTTATTCTGCCTTTTGAATGTCTGATCTGTGAAGATTACCTTTATCTTTCATTTGAGGAACATCTGTGAGAAAGAACTGTAGACAATAGGAATTGTCAGGAAGATAAGGAACTAACTCTTAGTAAATTTAATTTGACTGTTTCATAGTTTGACTTCTTATTACAAGAACTTTCCACATCATTGGGTAAAGTTCAATAATGTAATTATTTTTCCATGAAGTTCCTAAAAAGCATTAAAGTCGAAACCATTACAAGGATGATAGTAAAGCATTTGTTAATTGCCACTTCTTATGCCTGGGATTTTTATTAATTAACTTATTAAGGTTTTAAGTCTTTTTATACCATTTCAGATGGTTATTTAGTAGTTGTTTTGGCAGATTTGATGTCTGCTTTAGAATAGGCTTCATTGTCATATGTAACAGTTTAACTTAAAGAGAAAGATTTTCCTATTAATAATAAAGGTGCTTGTCTTACTAATAAGTTATTGATAGAACAAGTATGAGTAGTCCTTGGACTCTTCATGATGAATGCTGTTCCTTAAAACTGTCTTTGGAATGAAAACTTTAGGACTCAGAAGCCTCTTCCAGATAAGCACATGCAGCATTCATTTAAGAATGAGCTGAGACTGGGCTGAGAATGTGGCCTAGTGGTAGAGTGCTTGCCTAGCATGCATGAAGCCCTGGGTTCAATTCCTCACTACCACATAAACAGAAAAAGCCAGAAGTGGCACTGTGGCTCAAGTGGTAGAGTGCTAGCCTTGAGCAAATGAAGCTCAGGGACAGTGCCCAGGCCCTGAGTTCCAGCCCTAGGACTGGCAAAAAAAAAAAAAAAGTTAAGAATGAGCTGAGGGCTGGGATGAAGCTCAGTGGCAAAGCGCTTGCCTAGCAAGTACAACGTCCTGGGTTCAATCCTCAGTAACCTCCACCCCCCCCCCCCCCCCAAAAAAAAAAAAAAAAAAAAAGAATGAGCTGGAAATGTAGTGGCCAAGTGCTTTGTAACCTAGTGAAATTTTGGAGATTTTAGATTTTATGTAGGTTATTTTAACATCGACTTTTCCATTTTCAGGACTAATTACAGCAAATGAATGTAGAAGTATCTTTTATATTAAGACAGATTTTGAAAAGAAACTAAATTACATGGAATATCATTCCACTGATGAGATATGCTTGAAAATATTTTGTATATAATTCTCTTTGGCAGAATTTGGATTTAACGAAAAGAAAGATGATTCATGAAGGGCCCTTGGTTTGGAAGGTGAATAGAGATAAAACTATCGGTAAGTCTGATACCAGTTTTGTGTAAAGTAGAGGAAGGAAGAGAACAGCAAAGTTTACTCATGCCAGAGGGAAGAAGAAAGAATCATTCACAGTGCTTGTGGAACACTGATAGAAGATCTGCTTGTGTTATTTTATTAAGTGTGAAGTGTGTTCAATATTCACATAGGAATGAGGAGAAAACTTGGTCATGGTTCAGCTTCATTTCCTTCATTCTTGTATCTAATGAGTATCTGTAGTAGACTTTCTGCCACTACCTGTCAGAACTGTCAGTGGTGGGGCTGGGAAGATGGCTCAGTGGTAGAGTGCTTGCCTTGCATGCATAAGGCCCTGGGTTCGATTCCTCAGCACCACAAAAGCAGGAAAAAAAAGCCAGAAGTGGGGCTGTGGCTCCAGTGGTAGAGCGCTAGCCTTGAGCTGAGGAACTGAGGGACAGCGTCCAGGCCCAGATTTCAGACTCCACAACCGACCAAAAAATTAATAAATAAAATAACAACAACAACAAAAACTGTCAGTGGTGAGGGACTGCCCCTTTACTTGTCTTGGGTTACAGACTGATTCTTCCGTGACATTCAATAAAGAATGAAGACAATATACAAATGAATGTTTGTAAGTTTGTTAGAGTGCCAGAAATAATTTCCTTTATCACATCATTGCAAAGTTTATTACACATCTCAGTGCACCATTTCTGCATTTTTATTTCTAGATCTATATACATTGCTGCTGGAAGACATCCTTGTATTGCTACAGAAGCAGGATGATAGACTGGTGCTGAGGTGTCACAGCAAGATTCTGGCATCCACAGCTGACAGTAAACACACTTTCAGTCCCGTCATCAAGCTGAACACAGTGTTAGTTCGACAAGTGGCAACAGGCAAGTATGCTCACTGGAGGACACTGACTGCTGGACCCTAAAGTTGAATGAGCTATCTGGTGTTCGTTAAGCAGCACAACTAGTCTCCATAGAGTTTTGTTACTTTCATGTACTTAGGAAAAATTGAATGACATTTATTTACTGTTAAGAAAGTAAATTGAAAGTTTATATCCCAAGATTATGTAAGGTGCCTAGGTTCTTTAAGTGATTTTTGTATATTTGAAATTGCTTTGGACTTTATTCCATGTTCCAGTCATTGATAGACAACCAGTGGAGATAGTGCATGGAGAGGTTCTCCAATGAGAGGTTTTTGCTTCTAGTGTATGTTGTTTGATTTGGTGGAAACAAAGCAAATCTGAAGAGGTGGCTGTAGTTGAGTTTTTTTAAAGTGAGTTTATAATGACAAGTTATATTTAGTTGTACAATGAGATCCTTTCAGAACATGTTAATTTCATGCTGACAGAGTAAATGTGTGACCTCTTTTCTTCAGTATTGACTAGACATTCCCAGTAACAACTTAGCCAAGCAGCAGTACAAAATAAACATACAGTTTAGTGATTTGGATTCTGATACTTAAGTGTGTTGTACATTTGGTTACATTGAAATTTATGTAGTGTGACATACTCTAAGTTGCTTACTTAATTTGATGAACTTTTGCAAAGTGAATATGCAACGTTTATCCAAATTAAGACAACCTTAGAAATATCCCTCCTGGTCTCTGATTAAAGTGGTAGAGTAAGTTTTGCCTTATTCTTTTCTAGATAACAAAGCCTTATTCGTCATCTCCATGTCAGACAATGGAGCCCAAATTTATGAATTGGTGGCACAGACAGTTTCTGAAAAGACTGTGTATGTATCATATTTATCTGTCTTGTTGTAATTAATAATTATCCCCAGCATAATATTCCACAAACTTTGTTTTTATAATAGGACTCTAAAACCAAAATTATATCAAAATTAAGTTTTTCCTGTATATTCTTTTAGAAACATTTAAGTGCTTGTTCCCTGTTAGGCTGATTTTTAACATTTTTATTCTGTTTTATTAAAAGTAAATTTTCCCAGGGAAAGAAATTCTCAAAAGTATCCATGAAATTTCTAAGTGGGTGGTGTATCCATAATGTTAGAATTTCCTTTGAAGTATATTTAGACCTTCTACCTAAAAGTAGGTTATCAAAATAAAGAAATTTAACAGTTCCTTCATTCATTCTCTGCTCTCTCCTCCCCTCCCCTCCTTTCCGAACATCAAGGTTGTTCAAGTTTGACCAAGGTATTTCTCTTTTGTTTTGGGGTTCGCTCTCACCTTCTGAAGCTGGCAGGACCTTATCTGCCGAATGGCTGCGTCAGTGAAGGAGCAGTCTACGAAGCCGATCCCCCTCCCGGAGTCACACCCGTGCGAGTGAGTGGTGCCTGTGCTGCAGGGGGATTGAATTTGTGGTTCTGCTCAGAAAAGTAGTGGCTAGTTTTTATATTTGGGTGTAGTGATGTTCATAAAGCTCAAGGATTATTTCTTCTCTTCTCTAGAGGAGACAATGATGAGGAAGAACCACCCAGATTAGAAGTGGAGCGCCGCGACATCTCAGCCCCTGGCCAGCAGAGCCCAGGTGAGCTCCGAGCATGAGCTTTCCCACTCAGCAGATCCTAGGTGAGCTCCGAGCATGAGCTTTCCCTCTCAGCAGAGCCCAGGTGAGCTCCGAGCATGAGCTTTCCCTCTCAGCAGAGCCCAGGTGAGCTCCAAGCATGAGCTTTCCCGCTCAGCAGAGCCCAGGTGAGCTCCGAGCATGAGCTTTCCTGCTCAGCAGAGTCTAGGTGAGCTCTGAGCATGAGTTTTCCTGGAGGAATGTGGTCTGTTAGTAAAGTGCAAAATACTATGGGGCCCCTGATTTGTGCAGGTTCTAGCATCAACTGCCAACTTTGCTTATGGACCTTCTGTGTACTGGTGTAATTATCACCGCTCGAAATGCTGCTTGCTTTGTGAATAGTCCTAATAGCCTGTGTCATAGAGTTGTTTTCTACATATTTCCCAAATGCTTCCTATTAGAAGTTTTATTAAGATGATATGCCTTACCTTTTCTTCTCTACTACGTAGATAGAGATTTGGGTCTAGAACCTCCCTTAATCTCATCAAAACCTCAGTGTCATTCACTGAGTCCCGGTGAGAAGTCGGAGGCAGATGAAGTGTTTGTGACTGCAGCACAGCTGGCAAAGGAGCAGTGTGCAGAGGCCCTGAAGGAAAGTGGAGGGAGCCATGAGCTCACGCACACAGATCCACACCTGCTGGTCTCAAATGAGCGGTGGGCTCTGGATGCACTCAGGAATTGTAAGTTTTATTCATATTGTATTGCACATGCTTCCCAAGCTTGAGAGTTGTGTAATGTATTGAGCAGCCATTTAGGAGAATCCAGAGAAGTGGAAACGATGATTTTTCCCTTTAAGACACTTATGGTCTAGTTGGAAAGATTATAGAAACCCACCTCCTCTCATTCCCACCTTTGAAAGTCAATGTGCAAATGATAGTAATGCAGGAATGTCAGAATTGATTTAGGTTAGTTGACCAGAAGAGTATGCAGTAGAGAGCATGAGAAATGTGATCATTATGTTGAGGAGGGGTAAGATTCATACAGGTATGTGGAACAGATGCCATTCAGATGTGAACAGCGGTTTGGTATAGGCAGAAAACTTGCAACTGTTGAGAGAGCAGTGAGCAGTCTGGCCAGCCCGTGGTAGACACTACACTGCAAGCTAAAGGAGTGTGAGAGAAGCTGGGAAGAGGGAGATGGTAGGCTAGCTCTTCTGAACTCCCAGGACTGGCTGGGTCCTCTTTAAGAATGACGCATTGCAGTGGTGTAAGAACTTTTTCAAGCCACATGTATTCAAGCTTTCTTGTGAGAGTATATTTTCCACCATATCCCACACTATACACATATGTGCACATGTGCAAGCGCGTGTGCACACAGACACATACACACACACATGCACGCACCTACCTCTTAGCTGCCTCCCTTAACTGGCTGAAAATTACTGTTAAAAAGGGAAGATAGTATACCGCTCTGTTATAATGAGGTGGGTGAAATCAGAAAAGTTGCTCTGGCTACACTAGCTATGACTAATAAAAACAGATTGGTCCGGCTGAGAGCTACAGAAGGATTTGAGTGGAAAGGAGCTTTCAGAGATGCACCACTACTGTCCCCTACCTCCCTCTACTACACCTTATTTTTTTTTTCCCTTTTATTTGGCAGAGATAATGGGCTCCATTTTCAAATGTCAAAATTAAAGCTGAGCAGAGTGGCTCATGCCTGTAATCCTATTTGGGAGGCAGAGATTGGGAAGGTTGAGGTTCAGGGCTTCCCTGCCACCCCTCTCAGCCAGTAAAGGGTTGTTGTGCAGGGAAGCATATCACTTCAGCTGTGTGGGAAGTGTAACTAGGATAATCACCACCAGGGCTGGGCCTGGGCATAGATGGGAGTCCCTGTTCCAAACTAACTAAAGCTAAAAGGGTTTGGGGCCTGGATCAAGTGGTACAGCACTTTCCTAACAAGTACAAAGCCCTTAGTTCAAATCCCAGCACTGCCAAAAAGGAACAAAAAGATTAAGATAACGAGTGGCAAGCCATTCAAGAGGAAGTGAAAAGCAGGAATTTGGGGTTTTACGGCTAGCATTTTGGGGAGAGAATTCAGGGTCAGTCCTTGTTGCGTGGCCTCTCTCTGGAAGTGAATGTAGGGCAGAAAGGCAAGGAGGCAGTCAGAATCTCAGACCTATAGGGGAACTGCTTACCTAAAGCCATGCAAAATAGGAATTAAGCCCATGGTGAAGTGAGGAGTTACTTAGAATGTAATTTATTCTGTATTCTTCTGCATTGACAGTCTTCATGATAAATGGCTTGACTAACATTGTCCTAGAACCCAGTCGCTAGGCGAGTGATCTCAGCGTAAACGCAGCCTATCCAATGACATTGCTGCTGCTGCTGCTTCTTCTTCTTCTTCTTCCTCCTCCTCCTCCTCCTCCTCCTCCTCCTTTCTTCTTTGTTCTTCTTCTTCTTTCTTCTTCTTTCTTCCTCCTCCTGTCATAAGGCTTGAACTCCGGGCCTCCCTCAGCTCTTCAGCTCAAGACTAGCACTCTACCACTTGAGCCACAGTGCCACTTCCTGACATTGCTTCTTATTTTCAGCAACCTGAAGGACCTGTACCACTAGTGAGGGAAAAACCTGGTGTACAGCCTGTTACCTTTTCAAGTTATATAGACTACTACAAAAATCACTAGATTTTTTTTTTTTTTTCTTTTCAGTTATGGGGCTTGAACTCTGGGGCCTGGGCTCTGTGCCTGAAGCTCTTCAGCTCAAGGCTACTGCTCTATCACTTGAGCCCAGCACTACTTCTGGTTTCCTGGTAGTTAATTGGAGATTAGAGTCTTATGGACTTTCCTGCCCAGGCTGGGTTTAAACTGTGATTTAGATCTCAGCCTCCTAGTAGCTAGGATTATAGGCATGAGCCACAGGCGCCCAGTTAAAATCATTAGATTTAAATTTTATTACAAGACATTTTTATTGCCTTCCTCAGTTAGGGAGATTTTTTAAAAAAATTACTACATATTCAATGTGCCTCAAAAAAAAATAGTTCTGTGTTTATAGAGTCTGCTCCCAGAAAAAAATCAGAACTTATAGGATTTTGGTTTAGCTTACATAGCCTTCAGTATACTAAGCCCCTATGGGGTGTTGGTCCAGTTATATAGAAAATAACACAGGACTGGTGTGTGAACCTGAGGCTTGTGAACAGAGCCTCTCCCTGTTCAAGGTATTTGATTTTTGAAGGTCTGGCTAGTGTTGTCTTCCCTAAAAAGTGGCACTTTTTTGTGCACAGCAACATCAACAATGATTATGTGATGATAATACTTTGGTTCTTTGTTATTAAAAGGTTTTAGTTTTAGAGATAATGGTAACTTGGTGCCGCTAAATCCTGGTTGTGCAGGGCTCTGATTGTGAATGTCCTTTTCTTTTTGGCTCTCTCACATCTCAACTCTTCAGTGGGTTTGTTGAAGCAATTGCTGGTACAACAGTTTGTCTTGACCGAGAAGAGTCTTCAGGAGGACTGGCAGCACTTCCCAAGCCACAAGCCAGCGTCTCAGGGGGTGCAGGCAGAGGGTGGAGTCCAGAACTCAGAACACATCAAGGCCTATCATCCTGGTGATGGACAGGTGTCCTTTACAACTGGAACTGGTGACTTTGCCACTTGTCGCAGTCCACGGACTTCAACTGAATCTTCTGCTCCCCCAGATTCAATAGTGTTGGCATCCCAAGAGAGCCAGGCAAGTAACATTTTAGTAATGGACCCCATGATTCTGACCCCAGCAGCACCGGCCACGGAGTCGGAAGGGGGTCCTGATGAGAGTGGAGAGCACTTTTTTGATGCCCGTGAAGCCCATGGTGAGGATAACCTACCAGAAGGCGATGGAGCAGAGGCGAAGGAGGAGAAGGATGTTACCTTGCGCATCTCAGGCATGTTTCTTTCACATTTACACTCCAATTCTTACTCTTGCTGATGGTTTTGTATGCTGGAATGCATTATCTGTGTTCGTATGCGTGTGTAGCTCTATGTTTGGCTCTGTTTGTGTCCTCATGCCACTCATAGGTGCTGAGTCCACTGTGTCAGGTTGCATCCTAGGAGCTGGGAGATACAGCAGGGAATAAAATGCAGCGCAGTCTCCTGTCCACATGAAGCTTAAGTGCCAGTAAGAGAAAGTGTAATAGCACATAAGAAAACAAACAAACAGAGGTCAGATTGAGAAAAGAAATAAATCTGACTATAGCTGGGCAGAGAGTGACCAGGGCAGACAGGGAGATCAAGAGAGGCTCTGCGGAGCAGAAACCTGAATGAAGTGAGGGAAAAGCCATGTGCATGACCAGAGCTTTGTTCAAGCCGAGTAGAGAACGCTCAGCTTCCTGGCAAGAGCAAGCTCCGTGTGTGTGTGTGTGTGTGTGTGTGTGTGTGTGCGTGTGCGTGTGCGTGTGCGTGTGTGTGTGCGTGTGTGTGTGTGTGTGTCCATGTACGTACATGATACATATACCAGTACCAGGGCTTCACCTTAGAGCCTGTGCTCTTGCTTTGTTTCTTTGCTCTACTGCTTGAGTCTTACCTCCAGGCCTGATCTGTGTGCTAGTTAGTTGGTGGAAGCCTAATAGACTTTTCTGCCCAGCCTGGCTTTGACTAACAACCCTCAGCTCTTAACCTACCAATTCACTGGGATTACAGGCACGAGCTGCCGGTGCCTGACAAGAGCAGGCTCTTGTCGTTAGGGAATGGAGGGTGGAGGGGAAAATGTTAAGAGACCAGGTAAAGGGTGTTAGGCTCAGACGGTGGTGGTGAGACCCTGTAAGATCCTGTAGGAAGGGACTTCATAGTTTCCACCTTTAAGCTTTCAAAATGCTACTAGTATGGAATCATTCAGAAGCTGTCATGAAAGTTTGCTTAGTTGTAAGAAAATTCTGGCTTTTTGCTTCCTTAGTAGCTTTCCGAGCTGTCCTCAGAGCCCATACTTCATGATTTCCCGATGCAGTGGTAACCTCACCCTGGCTGTCTCTACCAACAGGAAACTGTTTAATCCTCGATGGCTATGAAGCGGTGCAGGAGAGCTCCACAGATGAGGAGGTCATGTCGTCCTTCGCCCTGCAGCCTGGGCTGGGCCTGCCCTCTGCGGACTCCCCCCATCAGCAGCACCCCTCTCCCCAGAGCGCTCATTCTGATGGAGCAGCTTCACCATTCACCCCGGAATTCCTGGGCCGTCGGCGCTGGGGGACTTTGGAGGGCTCCTGTTTTGAGATCCAGAGTCCCTGTTGTACAGATTCACAGAGTCAGATCCTGGAATATATTCATAAGATAGAGGCTGACCTTGAACACCTAAAGGTACCTCAACCTCCATAGCTCTTGACCTTAAGAAAACTACTTAGCAGAGTGCAAATGTGGAGTGACTGAAATGCCGATGTCAATAGACGTGGCCACGCTCTAGATCTGTGTCTTCTCTCTGACCGTTATTTATGGATAGGGCTTCGGTATAAAGCTGAGAGCAACACTGTTTATCTTGCAGCAGATCATGCGAGTAGGAAGAACTGTAGTTTTCTGGCTGTGTGTGTGCTTCTGAGTCTTAAGAGCTGGAAGGGCTGGGGCAGTGGGCTGAGCTGGGTTGGCTGCATGAGCTGCACCGAGAGGGTGGTGCTATGACCCCGCTGCACCCCGGCCCAGCAGGAGGGGGCGGTGTCCCAGCTGCTCTCCTGGCTCCAGTGATGCAGAAACCTGGCTGTGAGCAGAATGTGTTGTGACTTGGTAGTTGAAGGTATCTCTGGTTCAAAGCTGAAGTGGCGGCCAGCTTCCAAGGAAAGGCCGCTTGCAGCTGGTGCTCCCCATGCTGCTGGAGCCCACGTGTTCTTCTCAGGACGCCACTTCACTGGGAGGCTTTACGCACGTACTGAAAAATGCCTGTTAGCTAAAGATTAGTCTCCCTTAGTATGTTTTCAGCTGTGAGGTTGTGTCATCTTGTGGCTGAGGGCCACCGGCCTCTTCAGGGTGACTTCTGGGGTGGGAAAAGTGTGAAGCTAGTCATTCAGAGAAAGAAAAGATTGACTTTTTCTTTCCTACTGACAGCTTTTAATGATTTGTGTTAAAGTTGAACTTTGAGAGCACGAATCTATAATATAAAAATTTTTCTTTTCTATTTTCAATAGTTTTTCTTTATTCTGTTGCCATCCACATGAAGAAACAAAAACACAAACTTGTGGGTTTTCTTTTACAGAAGGTGGAGGAAAGCTACTGCATTCTTTGCCAAAGGCTGGCTGGCTCAGCCCTCACAGAAAAGCACTCAGGTGTGTGAACCTCTTGTGGCCTAGACTTACCCTGGATAAGTAATTTAGCATTCTTTCATGGGACAACCAAAGGAGAGTCCCTTTCTTGTCCATCTTATTTGTAACCACTATATATCTAGGAGAAGCTTCTGTCTGCTAACTCTGCCTTTCAGAGAACTGCGCTTGTCAGTTCCCTGGCAGCCCCTCCCCTCTCTTTACTCTTTAAAAGCAGAAGGTAGAGGGGAGTGGTAGGAAGCCTGGAGAACCACTTCCTGTGCTGCCTCAAGGCAGCCCCCTTCCTGGTGAGGGGGCTTGGGCCTAGCTGTGCTGGAGGCTTCTGCTCGCGGGGAGCCCCTGGCCTCCGGATGTGGGCCAGTCTGTGCTCCAGGCAGTGGTGCTCCGTGGCTGGTGTTCTGCCAGATGGAGCAGTTCAGACCCAGAAATATGACGAGCCCCAGATTGCATAGGGGTTCTTGGTCACATTCCTTTGTTCTTAATGTGGTTTCCACCGCTCTTTGTTCTTCTCAGATCAAAGTTAAGAGTGCGCTGGAGGTGACTGCAGGTTGCTGGATTCCGAGCATCGGCCCTGTATGAACCATGTCCCGGCTCCAGTGCGAATGCAGCGTGGGACGGGATCTGCGGTGCAGCACTGGGCCCCAAAGCCGCCATGCCCGCCGGGGCGCGTCCTCAGCCTGGAAGCCGCGCTGGTCTGTCAGTGAGGGAACGCCCATTCCCTCGTGTTCCCCTCCTCACCACTGCAAATCCATTCGATTCAGAACAGAAACCAAACGTACAGAGCTTTGGGTGTAGGATATGAAATTGTACTTAGGCGTAAGAAAAAGAGAAAATCAGATGTATTTATTTGACTTCATTCCGTATTTGAAAGCACATTTTAATTTTGACTTTGCCTTGTTTTGTTTTAATTGAGTAGTGAGTTTTAGATGTTGTTCTTAATACACCCAAGAACCCATTGTTCCTGAAGTGAAGAGGTCAGGACGGGGTGGGGCAGGGGTGAGAGCGGGGTGGAGAGGCAACAGCAGGAGTGAGGAGGGCGGGCAGGAGGAGGCCTGGCCTTTGCTGGGTGGCAGCTGTGTGGCAGGCTGCCCCTGTGAGGTCACCCGGCATGGTGAGGCTCAGGGTTCCGTGTGCAGAGGACGCACGCTCTGTGCGGCCCGTCTGAGGTAAGCACCCCTGATTAATGGGAATCCTCCACATACTAAATGGCAGGCACTTGAAAATGGGTGTGTTTTCTTCTGTCATTGTCTTTTCTATTGAGGGTTGGGATTTGAGGGGGGGGGGAGAAGAAAGCGAATTTTTATTTTCTTGACTATAAATTTGTTATTCTTGGTATTGTTTCATTTTTATGGTTACACGTTAGACTGGCACTTGTGTAAAATCACCCTGCAGATAGAGCAGGAAGTCAGAAGGAACGGGTGGCAGTGCTTCCAGGTGGTGGGTTGCGGGGTGGGGCGGGGCTTGTCCAAATGGAATCACTGCTGAGTTGAACCAGGGCTGTCATTGGCCACGGGTACTGCTGATCATAGGCCAGTACATATCAGTACCTGGAGGTTTGACTGTAATTGTTTGCACTGATGGTGCCAAAGGACTCTTGGAGTCACAAGGAGAGCTGAGGGCATTGGAGGAGGTGGTGGAGGATGGGGGGAGCTGCTCCCTTTCACTGCTGGGGTGCAGCCCCAGGGTGGAGCCACACCCTGGCCGGCAGCCAGGGATCATCACTGCTGCTGGAGGATGCAGAGTCGCCCGCAGCCCCTTGCGAGTGGGCATGCCAGCTCGGTGCGCTGAGAGCTCCCGCAGCCCTGTCGGCCCCCTGTGGCCTTTGTGCATTGGGTAACTATGTTTGGGGAGTATTTTGCCAACTAAAACAAAACCATGTATTAAATATCTAAGTTCTGTTAATGCGCAGAAAGTTCATGCATTGGCCATCCTTAGTAGTGTCCTTTGACCTCGGGAGCAAGAGTCAGGATGTCATTTCTTCTTCCCTGCACCCTGCCTCCTCAGGAAGCTTTTGCTCACCGCCCACGGTTGGGGCTGCCGGCTGCTTTTCTAGACGCCCCAGTACGTGAGTGCGTCCACCTGTCCAGACTCCTGCCTCTGCCCTCTTGGAGTCCACCTAGGGTCCGCTGGGATCTGTGTACCTCATCTAGAAAATGGAGCTACATTTTGAGTCACAGGCCAAGTATAATTGAACTCAAAATGAAGATTTAAAATTTTAGAAGCACAAGCTAATATATAAATGAAGCTTGGGATGTGGAACTTTCTGTATCTCTTAGGAGAAGCAAGTAGAAACCAAATGGTTGCAAAGCTGCTGGAAATAACTGTCACTCCCACTACAATAAGCGTTATACCTGTAGCCACTTCACAGTAAACAGCAGGGCGAGCATTCATCAGACAGCAAGTGTGGGGCACACGCATCTCAGCGTTAGACACTACGCTCACGCAGCATTCCCAGAGTGCGGGCTGGCCAGGCCTGGGCTTCTTCCCTCCCGTGTAGCACTACCTTGTCCCTCGTGACGATTCGCCTTTGTCCTCTACATTTTCACCCTCTTTAGAACTATATAATAGTGCTAACTGGGAGCATACCTGCACCCATAGTTCTAGCAAATAAATTAATATCCAGATTATTCAAACAGAGCTAAAGTGAATTCTGGAACAGTCCCTCTGTACCTTCCATCTTCTTGTCCGTCCTATCCAGCTACTCCTCCCCGCCCAGCCTCCCTCCTCTCAACGCCCTCCATTTCATTGCAGCCTTCATAATCATAGGCGATTGACTTTTATGTTCTATCTTCCTGGCAGGATGATAGACGAGGCATTCATTCCTCTTGCCTTTGAACAGGGCTGGTTAGCTTGAGAGTGGTGTTCTCCTTGCTCCGTGGCTAGGGTTCTGTATGAGCGCACCAGAGAAGCCCAAGGCGGCCTGCCCAGAGCGGCAGAGCTGCTTGTTCACGGTGCAGGCCGCCCCGGCCGTCCTGCCCTTCCCTGCCCCCCTGCCCTTCCCTGCCCCCCTGCCCTTCCCTGCCTCCCTGCCCTCGCTATGGGTCAGTGGCTTTTTTGCTTTTAGTGGCAGATTACAGTTGGATGTCTCCTTCCTCCTCAGAGGACAGAGTTAACCAACCAGCACACCCTCAGAGCGCTGTAATTCAAAGTCATGATGATCGCCCTATCCATGTATTTTGTATACTTTAAATCAGCTGATGCAGACTACTGGGGTTTCATTGGCTCTTACCACCTGAATTGTAATTATTTATTGTATTGCATGGGAGGTTTGTTTCATGAGCTTTATTCTTTCTTGGCTTTATTCTCCCCAAAAGAAGTTGTAACAACTGCTAGAAAAGATGAGTTTCCTTTTTAAAAGTTTTTTGGTGGTTGTTGTTTATTTGCTATTTGGGGAGGAAAAAGGAAAGAGTTACTGGGATAGTAGAGAAAAGCCCTTTTTGTTTGATTTTTTAGAAGTTGAAGGAAAGAATTACGCTTCCCGTGAGTTCCCTGCATGTGTCCTCACTTCCCGTGAGTTCCCTGCATGTGTCCTCACTTCCCGTGAGCTCCCCGCGTGTCTCCTCACTTCCCGTGAGCTCCCCGCGTGTCTCCTCACTTCCCGTGAGCTCCCCGCGTGTCTCCTCACTTCCCGTGAGCTCCCCGCGTGTCTCCTCACTTCCTCTGAGTTTCCTGCATGTCTCCTCACGTCCTCTGAATTCCCCGTGTGTCTCCTCGTCCTCCGAGTTCCTCGTGTGTCTCTCCCCTTTGAAGTGGCTGCTGCCGTGCGGTACCTGGCTTGGTGCACCCTGCTCGGAAGGGCAGCCTCTTCCACTCACGAGTCAGAGCCAGGTAGCTGCTTCCTTCCCCATCATGGAGGGTGACCCTGTGGCCTGAGGCCTTCCAGTACCAATATCAAGTTAGCAGCAACTCACACGGCTTCCCGTGGGCTGCGCCCCCCACCACCACCAGTTTTGTTTTGTCAGTTGTGTTCTTTTCCTGACACTTCCATCCCTTCTCAGAGTGCTCTGCAAAATTGTTCTGTACGAGAGTTTGTTTTGTCTTGTTCCTTATACCTTCCTCATTTGAACTGAGGGTCTTGATAATAAATGGGTAAGGAAATAAAAAAATACCTCCTAGAAACTCTCCCCTCCATTTCCAACTGCTAAGCAGACGAGCTACAGGAATGGGCAGTGCACACGGCTGGCTGTGTTTAACAAACCTCTTCCTTCCAGAACATTCTGTTTTCCTTATTCACCATGCAATCATGTACTCTTTAACAGAAATTGCTTTTAAAGAAATCTGGAACTATCTTTTAAAAAAAACTTTATTAATATCATGTATTTTTACTGATCACATTTTGAAATGCCTAAAAGACTTTATTGTTCTAATTATCCAGATGTACCTTTGTAAAATAGCTCTTTTATGAATTTAGCTGATAAGGCTGTATGTTTCTGGAACAAAATATTGGTCATCTAAAAACTTTCTGTTTTCTGGGGTCTGGGAAAATAGAAAATAAGAGTTCAAATATTAAATAAGCTTAAAAGAACCAAGTATGTGACTTTTATTTCTTCGTATTGTATTGATTCTTCTTACTTCACACGTTGTTGTGGAGAAGTTGAGTTGTCGAAGAGCCGTGCTGATCTCCCCGCTCAGTGTGGCCTCACTGCCGAGGCTGGCCTGCCAACCTCTAATTTGGAATCTCCACCAGAATGGCAGCAGCCACAGCTTCCCTGCAGTGGGGAAGCGTTTTTGCAGTTTTAAAACAGCTTTAGTAAAATATAATACATATCACTTTCTTCATGGCTCTTGCCTGTCATCCTAGCTACTCAGGAGGCTGAGCTCTGAGGACCAAGGTTTGAAGTCCTTCTGGGAAGACAAATCTGTGAGACTCTGAATACCCAAGTAACAGCAAAAAGCTGGAGATGTGGCATCAGTAGTAGAGCCCCAGCCTTAAGCAAAAAAATGCTCAAGAAGAGTCTAGACCCGGAGCTCAAGCCCCAGGAACAACACAAAATGAAGTTATGGAAACAGCCGGTCTAGAGTCAGTGGAGCCGAGTCACGCACATGAGGTGTCCAGGCTGGTTAAGGACAGGAACCGAGTGTACAGAGCTGAAAACACCGTGGAGCTCATCGGTTGAAGAAAGAGCAAACAATATATACCCACGCAGTGGACCATTATGCTGTGAAAAAGGAATGCGATACGATACATGCAACGATAAAGCTTGAGAGCTGCATGCTGAGGGGAGAGTTCTCTAGAACACATAAATCCATAGAAAGTAAAGTACTGGTTACTCGGAGAGGTTGGGGAGAAGGGAGAATGTTCATGGGAATGAGGTTAGGAGCGAACAAACCTGAAAATATACTAAAAGAGGTTAGAAATGTACTTCTTTAAATTTATGGCATGTGGATGATAACATATTTAATTTGGCACCAGGTGCAATAGGCTGCTGGAGTAGTCCAAGTATGGGGGAGAGTAAGGCAGGAGGATCACTGGAGTTCACAGGTTTGAGGCCAGCCTGGCAACATAGAGAGACCTGGCCTTTAACAATAGAACTGTAGGGCTGGAGATGTTGCTCAGACACAGAGCATTTTCCCTGCGTCATGGGAGCCTGGGTGCATTCCTCAGTAGAGTTAGGGGACAAAGTGGAAGACAAGGAGTACCTGTCCCCACGCCCGCTGGCTCCCCACCTCTGTCTGTGCTGTGCTTAGTGGGGGGTGCATCCACACCGCAAGCCTTCCTAGTGTTTCCGGGCCTCTGTGTGGCTAAAGGACCAGGTCTCCACATGTCAGCCGATCTGGACTTCACTTGGATGTCACTTGGTGACGTCAGGCTGACAGTTCACTTCCCCCATGCCACAGTGTGTGCACAGAAGCATGGCCATGCAGCCCTCTGCAAGGGTGTGTTGTGACTTGGCAGCCTGCGAGGTAAGCAGGCCGCACAGCAACGCCATACTGAGAAACAGCAGTCTCGCCAAGTCTTGTCAGGTCCCCACAGCACAAGACCTGAGTGACAGCTTCATTGCGACATTGTGTTTGCATTGCTCTGGAGCCTCTGAAATAGTGGAGCAGCACAGGGCTGCCCCGTAAGTGGAATGAGCTATGGAACCTAGGGCTTGCTTCTGTGCTTTCAGAATCATTGAGGATCTACTGACACATTCATTAATTTATTGCTGGCACCGAGTTTTGAACTCAAGGCCTGGGCACTCGCTGTCCCGTAGCATTTTCTTCACACGAGGCTAGTACTCTGCCACTTGAGCTCCAGCTCTGCTTCTGGCTTTTTTGGTGGTTCAGTGGAGATAAGAGTCTCAAGGACTTTACTGCCGGGGCTGGCTTTGAACTTGGATCCTAAGACCTCAGCCTCCAGAGTAGCTAGGATTATAGGCATGAGCCACCAGCACCTGCTTTCTGATGCACTTATACTATTTCAATTTGCCAGTGACTTTGTTTTCCATTTCAAGAGATGTGTGTCCTCTTGTGAGCGGCAGCTTGGGTTTGGGGCACAGCAGCACAGGAACTTCATGTTTCCTTTCAGTCCCTTCACCCCAAGAGCTAGTGATGATTAAGAGACTTGAAAACAGCTGTATTTAGCATGCGATAGCTGGTCTGGACCTTCCTTCTAGCCAGTGATCTTCAGTGACTGAAAGAGAGAGAGCTCTACAGAGATGAAGTTTGTCCAGTATGAAGGTAGCTAGCAAGGAGCCATTCTGAATTTCTCAGTTCTTTACCTCAGACATCTGATTTTTATTTGGGCTCAGGTTAGACATGTGCTTTGAAACGATGGGGCACCACGGCGCGCACAGGAGACCTTTTGTTACAGTACGCATCTAATGCGATCCTGAGGTTCGCCCGAGATGTCTCTTGAATTGCTTCATAAAACACTGTAATAAAGCCAATAGAGGCAACCTTCGATAGCCTCGAACCAAGGGGGTGCCCTACCTGCTTCCCCACCCCGAAGACCTTCCCTGCTGGGCGGCTGCACCCACAGATCACCAGAGCTCCTTCCTCTCCTGCCTGCTTGCTGTTTTTGTTTGTATCTGGTCTGTGTGTGGATGTCAGTAGTGTGCAGTATTTCTCCTAATCAATGTTTTAGCCTTGTTGGTATTTATTCAGCTCCACTGACTAGATTGTATTAAACTGAGTTGCATGGATGGGAGAATAAATCTGCATTTCTCTGTTCTCGGGAGACATCATCATATTTCCTATTATGTGCAGTTATTGCTTTGTGAGGATATTAACGAGCTCTTTTTCAGCTGGAAATACTGATGCTTTCTTTTCCCCACCCCCACCCCCAAGCAGTTTCAAATTAACATGGGGGCCAAGTTGGATTTCTGGACTCTAGCTTTGAATCTTTTTCTCCATTTGCCGTCATTGGCCATGGGCCGGGCCCAAGCATCCGTTTCCTCCGGCCTGCCACCGACAACGTGATTGTCGTTTCTCTGTGGCTTTGCATTTACTGAATCGTTCCTGATTGTGTAGGCTGTTTCTGCTTTATTTACATTTGGGAAGAGAAATGAACCAAAGAGCTTTCCTGCCTCTAGCTCTCCCCATGGCCCTGCTGAGGCCTGAAGTCTGGTATGCATGCATCTGTTTGCACCCCGAGTCCATGTCTTAGAACAGGGCAGGAGGAGGCACCTCTTTGTGTGGCCAGATCAGATCTGCGGAGGGGGCGTTGTTCACCTGACTGTGTGCTGAGTGGTACTTTCCCATAGTGGTCCTTTGAACTTCGTCCATGTTTATTACCCAGGATTTATTAACTGTCAACCCTGTGCTCTATTGAACACAAAGCATAATAGTGTGTGCGTGGAGTTGGGAGCACACGGCTTCAGCTCTTACTACAATAACAACGCAGAGTGGACAGTGGCTCCAGCCTCGAGAATCTGTTCCAAATATTTTCTATTAAATTAATAAACACTGGATGCTGTCCTGGAGGGAAGACACATCGGAAGCCAGGGACATACATAAAACCAGACACAATGTGAGAGAGAGAGAGAGAGAGACAGACAGACAGAGACAGAGAGGGAGAGAGAGGGAGAGAGAAATAAGAGACACTTAAACTTATAAAAGTAAGGATGTACTTTTGATTCTTCTTTCAAGTTGCTAAGTGGGTGGTTTTTCTCCCCCCAGTTATTTTGGTCTCACCTATGGCTTTCGTTCTACAAAGAATGTTTTGATCTCTTCACTTGGCCCAAAGCAAAGCTGGTGGCTTGGCTCAGGACCAGCAGCGCCTGCACCTCCAGGAGCCAGAGCGTGGATTTGAGCTCACTTAGGGGGCTCGGTGAGGCTCGGGCTACTTGAGGCCCGTGTGTGAGTGTGTGTGTGTGTGTGTGTGTGTGTGTGCAAGGAGGCTCGGGCTACTTGAGGCCCGTGTGTGTGTGTGTGTGCGTGTGTGTGCAAGGCGGGCCTGCGGGGGCCGGGTCTCGGAATATGAGAAAGACGACTCTCATTTCTGTTTACTAACCAGGTATTTTGTCATCTTGGCACGGGTTGACCAGAAGCAGGTACTAGTGGGGCTGCAATAGGAGGAGGTGCTTTGTGAGCAGAGGCGCATGGAGCACTGGCCTCTCTACCCCATCATGACCACGGGGGGAGGTTAGGGCAGAGATCGCCGCGCCACACACGTGTGCATTTGTGTGTTTCCAGTGTGCTTGTGCACTCCATTTTCTTTTGGTGCTGGACACTGCACATGCTAAGTGTGCCTGAGCCATTCCCCAGCCCTGAGTTTATGGAATAAGGGGGAGAATGAGCCAGCTCTGGGCCCTCAGAGCCCGCCTCCTCACCGAGGACCGCCTGGCCCCTCGATGCCGCTGACCCCCTGTTCACTGGGTTTAACTGGAGCCTGAAAACCTAGTGCTAGGACTCTCTACCCATGAAGGCACTCCCTCCACCTTCCAGATTTTTTTTTCTTCCCTTGCCAGTACTGGGACTTGAACTCAGGGCCGGGGCACTGTCTCTTAGCTCTTTCGCTCAACCCTGGCACCTACCACTTGAGCTATACTGCCACTTCTGGTTTTGTGGTTCATTAAATTTAAAAGTCCTGCTGACTTTCCTCCCTGGCCTGGCTACCGGCCATCGTATCCTCAGCTCTCAGCCTTCTGAGTTGCTAGGATTACAGGTGTGAGCCACCAGTGCTTGGCTCTACTTCTTTAGCCAACAATGCCAGAAAACAGATTCTTTTATCACTACTGCACAATAACAATCTTTTCTTGTGTAGACAGGGTCTTGCTATGCAGTCTCTGCCAGCCTCTCTCAGTCCTCCTACCTTAGCCTCCCCAGTGCTAGAATTAGGCCTGCACCCCCACACCAAATAAGCCCAACTTTCCATTTTGCTGGTTACTTGTATAAATATCTATGTATAGGTATTTTTGATCTTGTTCTACGTTTACTTTTATTTTCAGTTTTGTTTGCTTATATAGTTTATTGTAGTTGTTGGTTGTGGGGCTTGAATTCTGGGCCTGGGTGCTGTCCCTCAGCTCTTCAGCTCAAGGCTAGCGTTCTACCACTTGAGCCACAGCATCACTTCCAGTTTTCTGGTAGTTAATTGGGGATAAGAA